GGCATATTTCAGGATCCTCCCATAAGTGCACACACACCTCTTAACCAAGATGGATTTTACCCAAAAGATGTCTGGGTAGAACATTCCTTGACGTAACTCCCCTTTGGCCTGCACAGAGTCTTTTCTTTCTTTTTATAAAATTATTTATTTATTTTACTTTACAACATTGTATTGGTTTTGCCATACATTGACTTGAATCCGCCATGGGTGTACATGTGCTCCCCATCCTGAACCCTCCTCCCAACTCCCTCCCCATCCCATCCCTCTGGGTCATCCCAGTGCACCAGCCCCGAGCATCCTGTATCATGCATCAAACCTGGACTGGAGATTCGTTTCACATATGATAATTTACATGTTTCAATGCCATTCTCCCATATCATCCCGCCCTCTCCCTCTCCCACAGAGTCCAAAAGACTGTTCAATACATCTGTGTCTCTCTTGCTGTCTCGCATACAGGGTTATCGCTGCCATCTTTCTAAATTCCATATATATGCGTTAGTATAATGTATTGGTGTTTTTCTTTCCGGCTTACTTCACTCTGTATAACAGGCTCACGGAGCCTTTTCTGAGCATGTGCGGTCAGGGCGGTCTCCTGACTTTGAGAATAAGAACGTTGTGGTCTGGGCGGGTCCCAGCCACGTCGCCTTAAGGGTCCGCTTTCCTTGTCATGCAGTTTCCATCCGCAGGGAGTGGATCTCCCATCGCTTTACCCTGGGGAGAGCCATCCGCCTCGTGCCGCAGTATCTGGAATAGGGCGGGTGCTGTCAAAAGCACTGTGTCCTGCTCAGCTTCCTCTTTCCTGGTCCTTTGGGTACAGACAGCAGTCACTTCACGGGGCTTTTATTTCATCTACTCCTTTTGTTAAGTGTTTCTCTGTGGTTCCAGACTTGTGCGCGGTGGCCACGGAGCATCGGTTTAACTTGTGAGGGAAATAGAGCGACATCTGCTGGACACAGCGTGAACTGCTAGCTCAAGGTAGTTCACGATTATTAAATGGTGCTACATGCCTCTCTGGGAGAAGGCAATGGCACCCACTCCAGTACTCTTGCCTGGAGAATCCCATGGACGGAGGAGCCTGGTGGGCTGTAGTCCATGGGGTCGCTGAGAGTCGGACACGACTGAGCAACTTCACTTTCACTCTCATGCATTGGAGAAGGAAATGGCAACCCACTCCAGTGTTCCTGCCTGGAGAATCCCAGGGACGGGGGAGCCTGGTGGGCTGCCGTCCATGGGGTCGCACAGAGTCGGACACGACTGAAGCGACTTAGCAGCGGCGGCAGCACATTCCTCTCTATTAGGTTAATTTCTTTGTGAAGCTGAGGTTTTTAGCTGTTGCAGAAAGAAAAGCAAGTACTGCATCACAATTAATGTGGCGTGTCCAATCTGATTCCTAAAGTTCAAAACATTGTGTTGTGCCCAACAGGCAGGCACACACATCCTACTAATAAGTGTGGTTATGTAAGAATGAAATAAAAATATTTTTTCTTTGAATTTATATATTTTTTCCAAGCAGCTCCTAAGCTGCTAAGATATAAATCATAATTAAGTCGTTTGAACATATGCTACTTAACACATTATTGATCGGGAGATTTTTGCAGAAACTAATGCCTGTGGCCAGCAATTTTTTTATGTAAATGAATACTGAAACACTCCAGTCAGTAATGTTTGGGTAACAAAAGACATATTAATACATCTCTGGTCAATAAGTTGTTATAATGTGCAGAATTGTTGGCTTATTTATTTTGCCTGAGGGGTGCAGTGAAAAAAATCAGAAGCACTGAAGGTATTGAGAGAGTTTGGGAACCTCTGACTTAAGGATGAATTCCTCCTGCTTTCTCTATTTCTTCCAAGTAATGAATCCCGCCCTGCATGGGGTGTAGTTGTGTGCACAGAACTAGGAAATCCTCAGACCTAAGTCTTCATCTTGCTGATGACAAACACCATCTCTGCCTTGTCCTCCCCCAAGTTCCCTCATTACCTTAAAACTCAAACCTAAGTCTGTCTGTCCCCAGTCTTCATGGCACATGGGCTACACCGGGTCTTTAAAGCCAAGAGGAAACACGTGCCTCGGTTTCCCCAGACACTTGTTTCTAAAAGAAGGCACGCCAATCGGGTCACCAGAAGACTTGGCTTGGGTGTTCATCACTTTGCCAATACCTCCTCCGCATGGGTAATTCTTGACCGATGTTCAGTCGCTCAGTCTTGTCCAACTCTTTGTGACCCCATGCACTGCAGCACACCAGGCTTCCTTGTCCATCACCATCTCCCGGAGCTTGCTCAAACTTGTGTCCATTGAGTCAGTGACGTCATCCAGCCATCTTGTCCTCTGCCGTCCCTTTCTCCTCCCACCTTCAATCTTTCTCAGCATCAGGGTCTTTTCAAACGAGCCGGCTCTTCACCCCAAGTGGCCCAAGTATTGGAGTTTCAGCTTCAGCATCAGTCATTCCAATGAATATTCAGGGTTGATTTCCTTTAGGATTGACTGATCTTGCAGTTCAAGGGACTCTCAAGAGTCTTCTCCAACACACAGTTCAAAAGCATCAATTTCTTCAGTGCTCAGCCTTCTCTATAGTCCAACTCTCACATCCATAAATGACTACTGGAAAAACCGTAGCTTTGACTATATGGACCTTTGCTGGCAAAGTAATCTTGCTGCTTTTTTATAGGCTGTCTAGATTTGTTGCAGCTTTTCTTCCAAGGAGCAAGTGTCTTTTAATTTCATGGCTGCAGTCACCATCTGCAGGCTGGTGGACTATAGTCCATAGGGTTGCAAAAAATAGGACATGACTGGAGCAACTTAGCATGCATCTAACATGTAACTGTGTAACAGCCCTGTGTGTGTGTGTGTGTGTGTGTAAAGTTGCTTCAGTCGTGTCTGACTCTTTGCGACCCTGTGGACTGTAGCCTGCCAGGCTCCCCTGTCCATGCAATTCTCCAGGCAAGAATAGTGGAGTGGGTTCCTCCAGGGGATCTTCCTGACCCAGGGATCGAACCCACATCTCTTATGTCTCCTGCATTGGCAGGCAGGTTCTTTACCACCAGCACCATCTGGGAAGCCCCATAACAGCCCTATAGGACATGTAACTATAGAACAGCTCTGTATAAAAGATAAATATATAATGGGCACATAGCAGTAACAGCTTTAGTTTGGATTGCCAACAAGTGACAGGCAATCTTCTTTTTTAAACATTTATTTATTTTTAATTGAAGGATACTTGCTTTACAACATTGTGTTGGTTTCTGCCATGCATCAGCATGAATCAGCCATAGGTCTATGTATGTCCCCATCTCTTGAACGTCCCTCCCAGCTCCCACCCCCAGTCTTCTGAAACACAATTTACTCTAAATGCTGCATGCTATGTAATCTATTTAAAGACCTTTTAACGCACAAATAGGAATTTAAAGTTAAATAATTTCAGTCTGAAATGGGGACACTATCAGCAGAATGCAAGTTATGGGGAACTCTACACAACAAACAACCTGGTTTCTTCTATTTGAAAAAATTGTCAGGAAAACAAACAAACAAACAATGGAATGGAACCATTAGAAAATGACATTCATGAGAACTGGAAATCATCTGACTAAATATTTGGTACCAAGTAATTACTGTTGCTTCTTAGACAGGAGATGGTTATTTAAAATAATCTCTCTAGTAGAGATTTATAACATGATAAAATTATATATCTGTGACTTGCTTCAAAACACTAATGGAGAAGTGGAGGAGGCAGGTATGCCTAGAGGTTAAAATTTTAGGGCTCAGTGAGGGGCACACAGAAGTCCATTATACTGTTGTCCTTTTTGTGCATATGTTCAAAATTCTCTACAATCAAAAGTAGATAAATATTTGACTTGATTGTCAAACCTGACAGACTCAGAAGATGCCAAGACCAGTATACTGCTGACAGAATCTTGTCTGTGGCTGTAGGTGTGTGTCTTGGGGAGTTAATGTCTTGTTATTGTTAAATATCAAGAAGTGAAATAATTTCACTGTTTTTATTACTAAAAAAGTTCTGTGTAAGCTGTACAGAATTAGATACTTTCCTTGGTAAGAAAAAAAATTGAAATGTTTTATAATTTTCTATCAAGCATGCCCAAATATTCCACACACAGCAAATAATGTGTTTCAAAGAGATCAAGTAGCATTTATAATAGAGGGAGGAGCATTGTTATCCCTAGCATGAATATAATGGTGATAAGAGTAAAATAAAATGATCAACATTATGGAATTTTTGAGGCAAGAAAAGATTTTTTTTTTCCCCCAGTGAGACCAGTATTTTATTAACATACTAGAAATAAGCCAGCACAAAGTACATTCACCTGGTGCTAAAAATCCCGCCACCACGCACCCTCAACCTCGCATACCTGGGTTTTCCCAGCAGCCCCTGGGCAGACTGGCTTTTCCGGGCCTCCTCTAAGACCCTGGGGGCGGGGTCTGAGGTCCTCAAGCCTGTTGCTGCCCCAGCTGCGGCAGTGGTGAGCAGGTCATGGAGATGCTGCGGCTTCTGCTCGCCACGGGGGATGACGACAAAGTCATCAGAGGAAACTGGGTCCTCAGAAAAGGATCTTGTGGCACGTGACATTGCTCAGCCCTCACTGCTCCCTGAAACTGTCTCCCTTGAGTATCTACGTCCTCCTGCCTTTCAGGTTCTCACTTATGGGCTGCACTTCCTCCAACTCACCCTGCAGTCACTGGGGTGGGCTGGGGTGGGCTGGGGTGGGAAGGGCGCTTTGGCACCTGGGGGCTTCTCCTCTGGGGGATTATAAGGAGGCACAAATGAAAGAGAGCTCTCTTGCATGGCTGGACCAAACCCGAAGTCATTCGCTGTCCCAACATGCCCTCCCAGAACAGTAGATTTGTAGTACAATCTACTGTAGGGTGTCAGTTTAGAAAACACTTCACAAGGAAGCCATCTGACCTGATACGATTTTATTTTGCAAAGAATATCATCTTAGCAACCAGCTGTCCTCTCGAGATGAATCTGGAAGTGGCAATATCATTTTTAATGAAGTAAGCTAAAGGACTCTAACAGCGATCCCAACAACTTTTTGGATGAGTTCCATATACTGTAAGACGTTGAAATCTTGGCCACCAGGGGAACTCTGAAGTTTCTCTTCCTTACAGTTTTGGGGGGAACAGTCCAGCGAATGGTTTGGGGTATAATCTCCAGAGAGTCTGCTGGTATACAGGCATAAAAAAATGGCTGGTTTTGTTTTTTTTCAGAATGGAAGCTGATATCCTCTTGATGAGGTTTTGCTGATGATTTGTATTTACTTGGGAAATAATCCAGTCTTTCTGATTCATAATCCCTCACATTCTTCCTTCTTGTGTGTTTCTGTTTACTCTTTGTATAACTGTCATCACATTCCCAAGGCATGTTGTTCTTTCTAAAGAAGTCCAATTTGGCCTTCCTTCTTTCTCTGCTTTCTGAATGCCTGTGAGGTTTGCCTTGGCTTTTTGCAAGATGTAATTTAATATTGGATTCTGTTAAGGGAACTAAAGAATAATTATTCCCGCTCACTGTAGTCTGTGAAAGCATCTCCCCATTGAAAGAAATGGAAGATGATACAGATGGAAGCTCAACGGTATTTAAGGAGCTGTGACACCACGGGTCAGGAGGCTGCATTTTGGAGGACCATCCACGTTTCCTGCTTCTGTGGGATTCATGAGATGATGGTGTCATTTTGGAGGACCATCCATGTTTCCTGCTTCTGTGGGATTCATGAGATGATGGTGTCATTCTGGAGGACCATCCACATTTCCTGCTTCTGTGGGATTCGTAAGGTGGTGGTGTAATACTGGAGGATGACCCGTGTGTCCTGCTTTTATGGGGTTCATAAGAATGGGGTGTCACAATTGAGGAATGTTGTCGATGACCTCTAATATGATGGGAACCCACATCTTCACTGTAAAGTGGTTTCAAACCCATTTTGACTTTCTTGTAGAGATTTTCCACAGGTATGCCTTTCTGTAATTCAAATAGAATACTCTCTGCTTCCTGACTTAAATAAGGGGTGGCATCTAAAAAGATACAGTCTTCACTGTCATGTACATCATGAGCTGAGCATTCCTCCAAGTTATCTGAATTCTCGATATCTGTCTGACTGTCAGTAAAATCTTCAGAATTCTGAATTGAATGGGAACCACCTACATCCTGAGCCTTTTTCTGAATCTTTAAATCAACAGATTCATATGTATTTGTTTCTTGAAACCATACATGACATTGTTTATCTTTTTCTGGAGTCACGTGAGATTTTAACTTAGAAAGAGCCATGGTATCTTTCTGCACCATGCTGTGTTGATCAGGGTCAAGGGCACACACCTGGGTAGGTGCCAAGAAATTTCTGACTAATGATGTGTCTTCATGGAAACTTTGTTTTTTGAAAGGGATATGTTCTAATGGTTGTGTATCAATGGAATGACTGCCACTTTCCCCACTGTTGTCTCCTTTTTCACATATTGCGACTGTCTGTAATTTAAGAGTATGTTTGGGAAATGCAGTTGGCTTAGGGAACATCCATGCAACTGGAGAACCCAGGAGAAAACGAAAGTATTTGTATTGTAAATCAAGATCTATTTGATGTAGAGAGTTTTCCTCAAAAAGTAACAAAACTCTGTTTTTTCGTTTTGGTACTTTGACCACAGAATGAACACATTTAGATAAAGGTTTCCTTCTATCCTGAGCATTGGCCATTGTGTAAGATTCCCTTACAATTCTGGGGAAGGCTTTCATTTGAATCTCCAGTGTTTTCTTAGAAAAGTGTATGAGGAGTTTGTTTTTTTCTCCTACTGAGCAGTTCTGGAGAATATGAGGCAATGTTTTCTCTCTAGCAGAAGTCAGTGAAGGTACTCCACTTTCTAGCTCTTTCATCCTCTTTAACTTTGTAATGTTCACTGCCTCTTCACTGCCTCTTGAAACATTAACAATCAGTGACTTCATACAACTGGCAGGAGGTGAGTCTTTTTCGTATTTGTGTTTTAGGTTAAATTCTACAGTATCAATCCCTTCCAGAGGCGAAAAGAACATTTGTTTATGTCTTGGATAGAGCTTCCAACTGTTATGTTTTGAAATAGCCAATTTTTTATAAAAGCTGAACCTTTGGAAGGATCGTTTTACCACCTCTGGTATCAAATTCAGTCTTATTTCAGGTGCTTTTGACTCTAAGTGATTCCTGAGCTTGATTTTTTCTTTGCAAGTAAAATTTTCTAAAATAGGTTTTGGCTGCAATTCAGGATGTAATGTCATGGATAGTGTACTTAGACCCCTTGTGAAAAGCTGTGAGTTCCAATCATCAGGTTTATTGTCTTTTACTTTTTCAAGGTTTTTAGGAAAAAACCTGTTTTGGATCATGTTTTTTATCTGGGATTCAAGAAAATTTTTAATTGCTTCACAAAGAGGAATCATAATTCCTGCACTTGGACTATATCCCACTGTATTTCTTTCACTACCTTTAACTTGGGGTTGAATAGGCACAGTTCCTAGAGAAGTTTCTTGTCGCTGGACCTTTTGTATGGCTATGTCCTGTACAGGTTCACTCTGATTCCTCTGACTGAGTGGCGAGGCACACCCCATGGTATCAAATAGTTGAGTCTCATCTTGTGGTTCTTCTACCCCTGGAGGAGAACTGTTCATATTTAGGGTACATTTCATGTGAGTATCCACATTTTCCTTTGGATCTGTAGACATGATTAGACACCCTGTAGGTGTTTCAGTGGGTTTTGGTGCCTTTCCTTGCTCCATCATAATCAAGTCAGGTTCTTTTATGATCTTTTCCACATTTTCCTTTGGACCTTTAGACATGATTAGACACCCTGCAGGAGTTTCAGAGGGTTTTGGTGCCTTTTCTTGCTGGATCATAAGCATGTCAGGTTCTTTTGCAATCTTTTCCACATTTTCCTTTGGATCTTCAGACATGATTACACACACTGTGGGTGTAATGATGAGTTTTGGTGACTTTTCTTGTCCAACCTTAAGGAAGTCAGGTTCTTTTACAACCCTTTCCACATTTTCCTTTGGATCTTTAGACATGATTAGACACTCTGTAGGTGTTTCAGTGGTTTTTGGTGCCTTTTCTTGTTCAACCATAAGCAACTCAGGTTCTTTTATGATCCATTCCACATTTTCCTCTGTATCTTGAGACATGACTAGAAACTCTGTAGGTTTTTTAATGGGTTTTGGTGCTTTTTCTTGTCCAACCTTAAGGAAGTCAGGTTCTTCTACAATCCACTCCACATTTTCCTCTGTATCTTGAGACATGACTAGAAACTCTGTAGGTTTTTTAATGGGTTTTGGTGCCTTTTCTTGCTGGATCAAAAGCATGTCAGGTTCTTTTACAATCTTTTCCACATTTTCCTTTGGATCCTCAGACATGATTAGACACCCTGTACCCATTTCAGTGGGTTTTGGTGCCTTTTCTTGTTCAACCATAAGCAAGTCAGGTTCTTTTACGATCGAGTCAACATTTTCCTTTGAATCTTCAGACATGACTAGACACTCTGTAGGTGTTTTAATGGGTTTTGGTGCCTTTTCTTGTTCAACCGTAAGCATGTCAGGTTCTTTTACGATCCTTTCCACATTTTCTTTTGGATCTTCAGACATGACTAGACACTCTATAGGAGTTTCAGTGAGCTTTGGTGCCTTTTCTTGCTCGATCATGAGCATGTTAAGTTCTTTTACAATCTTTTCCACATTTTCCTTTGGATCTTCAGACATGAGTAGACACTCTGTAGGTGTTTTAATGGGTTTTGGTGCCTTTTCTTCTCCAACCTTGAGCAAGTCAGGTTCTTTTACAATCCTTTCCACATTTTCCTTTGGCTGCTTAGACGTGATTAGAGACCCTGTAGGTGTTTCGGTGGGTTTTGCTGCCTTTTCTTGTTCAACCATTAGCAAGACAGGTTCTTTTACAGTCCTTTCCACATATTCCTTTGGATCTTCAGACATGATTAAACACCCTGTAGGTGTTTCAATGGGTTTTGGTGCCTTTTCTTGTTTGGTCATAAGCACGTCAGCTTCTTTTATGATCCCTGAGTTACCTTTTTCTGGAACAACCCTTTTGTTTGTTTGTGGAGCTAAATTTTTATTTATTTCACTGCTGAGGTTTGCTTCTGATTTGATGTTAGGAACTTTGTGCATTTGTTGTTTGTCTACCATGAAGGGCTGGGAATCCTGTGGAACTGTGTTTGCAAAATTCTGGTTCCCTTCTTTTACAATGCTTGAACTGTTCCTCTTCATAGTTTCACTAGTATTTGGTGAGTTCTTCTGGAATTCTGAAATACAGGTTCTCTTTACACTTTCTAGGTTTGTCCAAGATTTTACTGGTTCTTTAGTCTGAGATGGACTCACTGTGGAAATAGAAAGACTTCTGATAAATATTTCTGACGCATCTCCTCTTCTCAAATCTATTTTCTTTGATTTGTTAAAGTTATACTCTAATTTCTTTCGATTGCTTGGAGTACCTCGTCCCGTGTTGCCTAGAATCTGTAGAATTGGATGCTTTTGGATTTTCATATTTAAATATTTGGGGCTCAATTCTCTTTTCAAGTCTGCTATTGTTAATCTGCCTTTCTGGCCTCCTAATTTGGGAGAAAGAGGAATATAGGCATAAAATGAATCCAGAGCATGCTTCTGAGGCATTTTTTGTAGTTGAATGTTATGTTTTGCAGAGGACACTTCTCGTTCCTTTTTATGGTTTTGCTCAGTTGGGCACCTGTTTGCCATAGGAGTGATTACCTGAGTCTCAGTTTGAGGTTCCTCTGCCCTTAGAGATGCGGTGTTCAGGTTTACTGTATTGCTTGTGTCCATTTTTATGGTCTCTTCCTTCAGATTAACAGTGGTGTGTTTGTACATTTCTATTTTGTCCTCTTCTAGATGGACAGCTATGTTCGTATCTATTTTTAATATCCCTTCTTTCACTTCTAACTTTTTTTGCTTCAGATTTCCAGTGGAGCCAGTGCCAGCCTCACTTTTTCTCCCCACATCTCCAGATTGGAGTGGAGAAGCCCAGGAGGAAACAGACTTCTGAGGCAGTTCTAGATTGTGTGCCTCTTTATCTGGAACAAGCAACGCCTGCTCCTTTTTCCCTCTTTGGGCATCAAACTCTGTCATGCCCATTTGTATTCCTGGTAGCATTTGTATTCCAGGGCACACTGTAGTTTGCTTGTGCACATCTATTTCCAATGATGTCCTTTGCTTTACATGTTGAAGTGGAATTTTCAGAGAAAGACTAGAATCCACTCTGGTCTTTTGTCCACTCCCAGCCTGCAGCACCACTTGCTTTTTCATGACAATTTCTTGATCTGCATTTTGGAGTGCATCTGACTCTGTGATATTCACTTCCTCAAGGGGCTCCTTTATCTGTGGTGCTAACACTTTGGGAGGGGACATTTCACTTGTTTTTCTATTGTTTTGTCTATCTTCTTCTGGCTTATCAAGTTTACATAGATCTGTAGATGCTGGAGATGCTTGTGCTAAAGCTCCTTCTTGGTGGTGGACATCTTGCTTTGAAGCAGAAAACCCTTCTGAACTGACAGGGGAGCCAAGTGTGGCATATATTTCCTTGGATAGTTTCCTTGGCAGTGAAACTAGAACGTGAGGACTTATTTTATGGCTTAGGTCATTCATTATTTCTGTTTCTTTCTTCAGACTTTCAATTTTAGTGAGACCCATCATGGGGAAGGAAAGAATTGTAGCCAAAGTTTCTGGTTTGTCTTTTTTCTGCTGAGCCTCTGACCCTGCAAAGAAACTTTCTAGCCTTTTCCCACCTTTTACAGTACCATGCCCTGTGACGTAAAAGTCCTCCTGCTGCGAATCTGAAAGTAACTGACTTACACCTCCTTCAGATTTGACTTGTAGAGGTCCCCTCCTTTGCTGTACACTGAGCACAAAGTTCGCCGTCCACTGTTGCATGGTTTCTTCTGGCGCCGAGCGTTCTGCGTTTTTAACAATTTCCCTCTCACCAGCAGCTGATTCTGTGATTGCTGTTTTCTGGGTATCTGATGTTTCCTGGAGATTTTGCTGTGGATGAGAGGATCCTGTGATTCCTAGTGTGTCTTTGTCTGTTTTGCTCCCTAAATCTAAATAAAGAGGTGCAGAAGGGATAGAAAGAAAAGTCCTTGTCAGGACCATACTTGGTTCATCTTTATCTTTGTGTACTTTTCCCCCTGGCTCTTGAATAACATTCAACACAAATTTCTTTGTACTAAAGACATCCGGAATTGGTGAAATCGCTGATTTTTTGTGATGGGTCCGTAGCCTCATATCTACGTTTTTCACGTCAAGCTTTTTTTCTTTCTCTGACATACATTGTTTTCTTTTTATTACATCATCACTAATTCCCTTTGTATCCGTTCTCTTCGTTGCATCTGATAATTCTGAAATCATTCGTGGAAGTAGAGAGGGTTTTTCAATTCCAAGCTTTCCTTCATCTACTTGTGTACCTTTATCCAGTTTCGGCTTAGTTGGAGGTGTGGCAAGATAAATATTTCTTCCGACCTTACCAGGTGGTTTACCTTGAGTTTCCTGTTTCTTTTGCCCTGTCCCTCCGAGGTTCAGATACAGTTCTGATCTGTGGAGTGTATATGAAGAAGGTGATTTCTTGGACTTCAAAATTATATATTTGGTGTGTGTCACACCTCTCCTATCTACTGATTTTTCTCTGTCCCTCTCTTCTTTCTCAGAAATAGGTTGTTCCTCATTTTGAACACCTTTCCTGGAATCACCACTAGTTGAATATGTATGTATCATTTGCTCTGCCTTTGATATTCTCCCCAAAACAGACCTTCTATGTGCTAGCATTTCATCATCAACTTGTACTTCTTTATCCAACTTGAGGGCAGGGAGAGATGGTGATGAAATAGAAAATTTGGTCAGGTATTGACCATCTTTTGTGATATCATCACTAATTGAATATGCATGTGCTGTTTCCTCTGCATATGCTATTCTCCCCAAAACAGGCCGTCTAAGTGTGAGCATTTCATCATTGACTTGTTCTTCTTTATCCAGCTTGAGGGCAGAGGGATACAGTGATGAAGCAGAAAATCTGGTCAGGTTTTGACCATCTTTTGTGGTATCACCATGAATTGAACCCCTATGTACTACTTCCCCTGCATATGAAATTCTCCCCAAGGCAGACCTTCTGCATGCTAGCATTTTGTCATCAACTTGAACTTCTTTATCGAATTTGTGGGCGGGAAGAGACGGTGATGAAGCAGAAAATTTGGTCAAGTTTTGATCATGTTTTTTGGTATCACCACTAATTGAATCTGTATGTCCTGATTCCCCTGCATATGATAGTCTTCCCAAGACAGACCTTCTCTGTGCTAGCATTTCATCATCAACTTGTACTTCTTTATCCAATTTGAGGGCAGGAAGAGATGGGGAAAAAGCAGAAGATTTGGTCAGGTTTTGAATATCTTTTGTGGTATTACCACTAATTGTCTTTGTAGGTACTACTACTCCTGCATACGACGTTCTCCCCAGAGCAGATTTTCTACATGCTAGCATTTTATCATTGACTTGTACTTCTTTATCCAACTTGAGGGCAGGGAGAAATGGTGATGAAGTGGAAGATTTGGTCAGGTTTTGAGCATCTTCCGTGGTATCACCACTAGTTGTGTCTGTATATAATTCCCCCCCATATGCTATTCTCAAGACAGACCTTGTACGTGCTAGCGTTTCATCATCAACTTGTACTTCTTTATCCAACTTGAGGGCAGGGAGAGATGGTGATGGAGTGGAAGGTTTGGTCAGAACCATACCTGGTTCATCTTTACTTTCCTGCATCTCCTTTCCTTGATGTTTGGGAGATACAAAGTTTCTTCTTTCTACTCTGTCCTCTTTCTTGTTCCGGGGCAAATATTTCTCTCTGGAGGGACTGATGACAGTGTCTCTCGCCATTGACTCTACATGTATCGCTTCCTCAGAACTTGATGATTTCTGGAAGTTTACTGGGGGAAAAGAGGATCTTGGTAGCATTGACATGCCCTCTTCTCTTATAGATAGGTCAGTTAGATTGTGTGCAAGTACAATAGGTGATTCCTTTGCTTTCAAATCCATGTTATGGGGGTCCACTCTACTATTCATAGCCACATTTTCCTTTCTCTCCTCTTCTTTCTGAAGCATGTGTTCTTTTAATATGTTTACATCTTTTGAAAGATCCCCCTCACTGGTGTCAGCATATTGTGACGATTCCTTGGACTCTGCTTGTGGGGGAGGCAATTTTGTGATTCTTATCATGTACCTCTCTCCTTCTGGTTTATCAAATTTAAGATATGGTAGAGTCAGTAAAGAAGTACAGATGTTTTTCAATCTTGTAACTAGTTCACTGTCCTCTCTCTGTACCATTTTCTTTTGCTTTTTAATTTTGCACTGTGATTCTTTGGCATCACATCTATGTGAAAGTGGTAATTCCTTTGCTTTCTGATGCACAGCTGTTGGAAGCACTCTGTCTTCATTATCTGTTTTGAGTCTAGCTTTGTTTTTTAACAAATGACCATCAAATGACTTAACATCTGCTTTTGTGTTTAGATTGAGTGGATCATAAATCTTCAGCGGTGGAAAACAGGATTGCGTTATTCTTTCTGTATCTTTCTTTTCATTCCTGCTAGCGTCCTGTCTCAGGTAAGATGGAGAAGGTAAGGAGGCACGAGTTTCCCTCAGAACCATTCCACTGCCATCCTGCACTTCCTTCCCTTGCTCTTTGACATTCAAAGGCAGTCTGTTTCTACTGAGTAAATGTGTAAGTGGGGATGTGTGGGCTTCCACAGCTGTGATCTGGGGATGTGTTCTATCTTTCTCGTCTCTTCTTTTTACTCTGATCTCTGTCTCTTTATATGACACACGTCCGTTAGCTCTTACTGTTATATTACACGAGCTAATACCTTGACTGAAATCTGCATATCTGATTTTCCCTGCACCTGATGACTCAAAGAGCTGAAATGGTGGAGAGAACCCCGTGACTTCAGGCAGGTGTCTGTCTTCTTTGATTCCTGCATCCAGTCTGCGGTCTGATGCAGAAGGCAAGGCAGGAGGGGTTTCTGTTGGAGTCACACCAGGGTCCCCAGCTCTCCCCTGCCCCTGTTCTGTGCGCTCCTCCATGCTTGGCTGTGCTTCCTTTCTCCTGCTCAGAGCATCGTGCTCAGCAGTACCAAACACATGAGGAGGGCATGATGTCTTTGCCTTGAAATCTGAGCCACTGGCATGCACGGAGCCGCTCACAACTGTTGTGTGTGCTCTGTCCCTTTCTTTTGGTGGCAGATATTGTTTTTCTTTCTTTCTATCCGTTGACTTTGGAGGTGCTCTCTGTACTGAAGGCCGTGAGGCTTGGATCTTGAGATGTGGCACAGAATGACTTAGGACTCCTGGACCACCTCTGTCTTCTTTTATTGTGTCAGATTTAAGATGCGTTGAAGAAGTGACAAAAGGGCAGATTTTGCTCAGAATCACAACTGTGTCCCTTCTCCCTTTCTGCTTCCTTCTCACTTGCTCCTTAATGCTCACCTGCAGTTTCTTTGCGCCAAGCATATGGAAAAGCGGGGATCGCCTTACCTTCAAAGCTAAGGAGTCGGGGTGCATTGGGTCTCTCACAAAAACATTTGTTTTATCCTTTTCTTCCTGTGTCATGTATTTTGTTCTTTTTGAATCGCTTGAGATCTCACTCAGAGGTGACACTGTATATTTTAACTCCTGTGCATCTAATGACTTCCTGCGCCATAACGGCGGAAGACAGGATGTGAGAGCTCCTTGCTTCTCTTTCTCGCCTTTGTTTAATGTAAACTGAGGCAGACAAAGTCCTGTCAGAACTTCATCTAGTTCACACTTTTTTTCCTGTGCATGTCCCAGGTTTTCTCTTCTGTTTGCTGGTTCATCTCTAGCCTGGGGGCTGTGGCTCCCAGGGCTACTGGAAACGTGTGGAAGTGGGAACTCCTTTGCTTTGGAACTTGTCTCTTTGGAGTACTTCATATAATTCATATTGGCTGTTTCTCCTTGATCCTTTCCTTTCTGGGGTATAAATTCATTTGCTGCTTGTACATCACTTATGATACCTCTCTCAGTTGACTCTCGATTTGCTTTTTTCACTGCATCTGATATCTGGTGGGGTAGTCCTGAACAAGAATATCTTGTTACTTTAGCTCTGTCATCTGCTCCTATCATCCCTGTATTCGAGTTAAAAGAAGTGGCAGGTCTGGAAGTACAGATCAAAATCACACTTGGTTCACCTTGAATTCTTTGTATCTTTTTCTTTTGCTCTTCCACATCCAACTGGACTTCCTGTGAAAGTGGTGAATTCTTTTTCTTCAAAAGGAGGACTTTTTCCATGTTAATTCCTTCCTCTTCTTCCTGTATTGCATGTTCTTCAGCTTTTTTTACACTGTTTGAGATATCACCAGAAACAGACTTTTCATATGCTATGTTTCCCATATCTGATGACTCCTGGAGTTTGGGTTGTAGAAAACAGGATTTTGTTTTTCTTAGCATGACTGCTTCTCCTTCCCTTCTCGTGTCCACTTCAGAGTAAGGTGGAGAAGAGATGGACACACAAGACTGTCTCTGAATCCCAACCTGTTTACCTTTATCTTGCTTTATCTTTTCCTCTTTTTCTTTGGTGTTCAACTGCAATTCCTGGGCAACTGGAGACTGGTTCACCTCCAGAGGCATTCTTTGGGGATGCCTTATCTCTTTCAAAGCCAGGTCCACTTTGTTTTTGTTTTTCTGTGACATATGTTTTGATCTTGCTATATTGCTTAAATTATCATCAGCTGGCTCCTTACATGTTATCACTGCATCTGACAGTTCCTGGAGGGTCAGTGATGGAGGGCAGAACCATGATACTGTTTGTGATGCCGCTTCTTTTACTATAGGACCCTGCTCCAGGTGAGAAGAAGATGGAATGGAGGCATGAGGCTTATTCAGAACTACATTTCCATCACTTTCATCTTCCTGCATCATTTTCTCTTGCTCTTTATTGTTCCACTGAAGTTCATTTCCATGCGGTGTGTGTTTAAAAAGTTTTTTCTTTCTTTTAAAAGTGGCCCTTTTGCAGCCTCTTTTATCTTTCACATACACTGTATTGTCTTCATCTTCCCTCTTTTTCTGTGAGAAATGTTTTGATCCTATTATGTTGCTTAAACTCTCTCTATTAATTGACTCTGCAAATGATGCTTTCCTGATATTTGATGTTGCCTGGAGCTTTAGTGGTGGAAGGCAGTTCTGTGCTATTCTTGACATATCTCTTCCTCCTTTCGTTCTTGAATTCAAATCAAGAGGTGACAGAGATGGTACAGAAGCAAACAGGTTTGTCAGTTTCACACCTGATGTACCTTTGCCTATCTGCCCCTCGCTCTCTTCTTTTACAATGTTCAACTGCCCTGACAATTCCTTTTCACTGAGCATGTGTGATCGTGATGGTTTCTTTGCCTTCAAGGTAATGTTGGGATCCATTGTTCCTTTCACATTGGCTCCTTTTATTCTAGTCTTTCTCTGCGATATAAGTTGTTTAATTCGTTTTAAATTATTTGAGATAATCTCATCAGCTGTCTTTATATTCAGTTTGAGAGAAGGGATGGACTCATATACATCTGTTACAACCAAATCAGGTTTAACCTTTCTGTGTTTCCTATTTATCACTTCCTCTTTTATCTTCCTCTGCAGTTCTGGTCTGTTGCCTGGGCCACCATAGTCAGTGGTATTAAATATGTTGGAAAATATCAATTTCTCCAAAGTCCTTTGGGTATGTACTATGTCTTTCTCAACTCCTTGTTTTAGGTCATTCTTCTGTGTTTTATTTTCAGGCAAAGGAGGCATATGGATAGAAAGAGAATGTGAAAAAAATCCAGGAAGACACAGCTCTTTTTGTACTTTTTTTCGACATGCTTTACATAAGTGCACCTTCTTTCTAACACTTAGCTTAAGGGAGCTAACATTTGTTATTGAATCAATTACCTGCTCCCCATCTGATAATTTCTTTCCTTTTAGCAATGAGACATTCTGATATTTTGCAGTTTCACTGGATGATTCTAAAGGTGGCCTTGTATTTTGTCTTGTCATTTGCGTTGGAGGAGCTGAGGGTACAGTCCATTCCAGGCCACACTCACGTTGAGTGTTTAGTTGTTCTTTAGAAATCAAGTCTAATCCTTTTGTCCTGATGAACACATTACCTACTTCTGATAATGCTTCCTTCGTCTGAGGCGTTAAATGTGGCAGGAGCCAGGGATTGTTTTGAGGGTAAGATGTAAACTCAGAGGGAATTCTCAGGGAGGGAAAATTCTCAGAGGGAATCAGTAGGTGCTGCTGCTTTTGCTCCACGCTGGGTAAATTTTGTCCTTTTTCACTTTTCTGTGTATATCCAACAATAACATCCATTCCTTTTAATGCTTCCTTAGCCTGTGGAGTTGAATATTCAGAATGCATCTTACTTGTGTCATCAAACTTTACCTCTTGCACTGAGATATTAGTTTGGTGGAGACCTGTCTGGGAGTGAGATGTGGACTTTTGAAGGGTCTCAGACATCCCTTTCTCTTGCTGGTCTCCTTTTCCTGCAATATGTGAACCAAGTCCTTCTGTACTTGGAGTATACTCCACAGTGCTAACTACTTCTTCCAATGCTGTCTTTTCACACAGCATCTTACTTTGAAATAAAATATCTCTTGAAGGATCAGAAGCAAGATTTGGCCAAATACGTTGTACACACTCTGGTTGCTCTTCTGATTCTGCAACAGGCAAGCCAATTCCTTCTGTATTTGAATTGTGGTGTCTTGGACTATCTACTTCCTTTGCTGCTTTCATTACCCCTGGCAATTTAATCTGAAATATATCCATCATAGAATGAGAAAGAGATGTTGGGAGAGCCTTGCATGTACTTTCCTGTTGATGTTCTTTTCTTCCTGAGCACGGAGGTTGATCCACTGGAATATCTACTGCATTTGATGCTTTCTGGACCACTGGACTCAAAACTGCTGAACTCATTCCTTTGGCTGAGACTTCTTTCTTTCGCCTTTCAATATGGAGTTGATGCAGTATGCAAGAGGAAATGAATTCCAGAAGATTTCCCTTCCTCTGGTTAGAACTGTTTTGCTGCTCTGTCCTTCCTTTCTCGGAACAGTTTATTTTCTGTTCATTTGATGTTAATAGAAGGTTTGTTAACTTTGGCATCTCGGTTTCCCATAGATTGATGCCTGAAACAACAGGGAAGCTAACACTTTCTTTCCCTGTTGCATTTCCTGCCTCTCTCACATGAATAAGTTCCCTACTGGGGCAAGATGCTGAATCCAGGAGACGTTCCGGAATGGGATCTGGTTTCACATCTCTGATCTCCACTGCAGGTGTATATTGCCGGACTTCTGCGTTTGCACAGAGAAACGTCTGTCCTTTTGAACCTTGGAAGGTATCAGTTTCTCTTAAGCCATCTCTTCCCAGATGATTTGGAATGGTATTTTCCAAATGAGGGGTTTCTGTAATGGAGTACAAAGTAGGCTCCACCAGTGTCCTTGAATTACTTCCTTCTTTCAGCAGATCCTGTTCCTTGCAAGTCTTCTCTTGAGAAGCATCTGACTCTGGAAGACACCTGTTCTGTCTTTTCGAACCTAAAGAAACATCTGTTTTCTCAGCTACTTCCGTCCTCTGTGGAGCTGACATTGGAGGTTGGGCCTCGTCTCTGTCTCCCCCCCTTACTCCTGGGGCGGTGAGGTGTTGGTGTTTTGTGTGTAATCTAACTCTTGAGATGTCACACATAGTGGAGCAGCTCTCTCTCTTTGGTGAAGGTTGATCGGGATGTACTTCTCTTTTCAAATTTACTGTGTATTTGACATGGGTAGGGCTCTTCTTCAGTTGCTGTCTCAGCATGAATCGATATCTACACTGTGGGAAGATGTCTGGGGAAGAGATTTGGCAATTTTCTTCTTGCTCTCTGATACCTTGTCTCAGGGTTTTCTTATTTCTGGATTTGGCACTTTTAGCAAGGGACTGTGAAAATGCTATTTGTCTTGTGTTCAGCGATTTCTTCGGCCTCGGTGGCTTGCCTTTCTCCCTTTCTGCTTCCATTAACTCTTGAATTTTAGGTGGAATAGACCCAGAGTCACAAATAGTTTTCAGAGAGAATTCTACCTCAGTTTTATCTTTCTGGAACCCCGGCTTCTGCTTCTTGGTGTTACACCTTGTCTCCTTTTTGTGGCTTCGGGTTCCATACCCTGCTGTGTTATACATCAGGGAAACAAATGGTTTCTTTGCCTTCGATTTTACCTGTTCAGTATGCACCGTGTTTTCTGCACCTGCTACTTTTGCATTAGCTTGATGGTTTAGGATTTGGGGGTATGGAGGTATGTAAGCATAAGCAGAGTTCTGGGTGTTTCCTGAGACACATGGTTCTTGCTGTTTCTTTTGTAGAAACTCAAATGACTGGGTATATTGTGAAGGTGTTCCAAACAAGACCTGTTGTTCACACTCCTTTTCCTCCATAACTTTTGCTTTCTTTAGGGCGTTTCTCTTTTCAGAAGAGTCTTCACAGTTACCTGAGGTGCTAGGTGACTGCTCCATTTTTATATGTGGTGGAACAGATGGAGAAGCATCTGTAGGTTTCAGGTCTGTGTTTAACACAGCTTTGTCTGCGTGTGTGTCTACCTTCTGTTCTTTGTTCATGCTTAGAGCAGCAGGGCCTGTGGCACAGAGTGACTGTGAAGCCACTCTGTCTTCAACTGGCAACTGCATGTGTGCTGGCTCTACAGGACTAAACCCTGACATTCTCTCTGCCTCTGTTTGGAATTCTCTTTGCCTTCTAATGTCGGGGGTATCCACTTCGAAGTAAGTGGAATTTGTGTACGTATCAGTCGCATTTCTACCTGAATGCATCTCTTTCATTTTGGTTTCTATGTTGGATCTAAGTTTCATCCTCTGTTTTGCGGCGCATTGCCTACTGATTTTAAATAGCTGTGAAATGAGTGACTCCTTTTTTTTCATCACGGAACATTTGCGTTTCAGTGTGATTTTCTCTTGCACTGTGTTTGTCTGGCTTTCAGAGTCAGATAAGACAGGCATGAGTAAGTTGAAAGGCCCCAGGAGAACTGTGGCTAAGTTTTTATCCAGCTCTGCCTTTTTCTCTGTAACAATATCATCTAGATTTTTGTGAAGTGCTCCGTGGTTATCCAGACTGTCCCTCGCTGCTGTATCGAATGGCAGTTTGTCAGTCACTAATGTGGGTGGTGGACTCTTAGCTCCCTCACTGGCATGGAATAATGTCTCTCTCGCACCTTCATTCTGTTGCTTCTCTTTTGCCTTGGTCTTAAGTTTGTGGTTTTTCTCTCTGTGGCTTCCAGTAAGGCACCTCATGCTATTAAGTCCCTGCAAAACTGGTAGCTTCCCTGCCTCCAGAGTTACCTGCTTGGGACTCATTCTACTTTTCTTGCCTACAGCCTCTACTGCATGACTCTGGCTCTCGGGTTCAGATGAATCAAGGCTGGAGAAATCTAAGGGCTTTAAGACTGTTCCTAAGTCACTCTGACTCCTTGCCTTTTTCTTAAAAATAGGACTATCTCCTTTCCTCCTATGATTTCCATCCCAGACACCACCACAGTGTAAGGAACCAGCCTCTGATTTCCTAGCTTCTGGAAATGGGGTCTTTAGATCTGCCATGTGTTGGATTTCCTCTTGACAATGAAGAACCTTCTTCAGTGTCTGGGCCTGAATTAAAGTCATCACGCTTTTAGAGACAGGCTTTAAAACAGTTTTTCTAACGCGTTCTTCTTGCCTCATGTTTTGTGCTGCACAGGACAGATTCCAAGTACTTCTGCCTTCCAAACTATCCAGTTTAGGTTTTGATTTGCAAGGGCCAAGATTTTTCACATGATGAGAAGTGAAACAGAGGTGTTGGCTCTCGTGTGGAACTGATTCTGCTGATATTTCTGGGACATTTTCCTCTTCCCTCTCATGTGGCACACTCTCTCTCCCTGTGTTGCTGGATCTGCTTTGTGTATCAATCCGATTGGCCTCCCACGCTTCCCCAACACTCGGTGATTTCTCTAGCTCTGGGCAGGTGTGGTTGTGTGTTTGTACTCTTGGTTGATCTGTCCCTGTTGTGGGTGTGCTATCAATTTCAATATCTATCTTATTATCTGTTGAAACAGGTGTGAGAGATGAAAATGTATCAGCTATACTTTCATGTTGTTGCCTGTCTTTTATCACAGACTTTAAATAACATTCCTGTTTCTTTTTACAGTACTGATGACCATGCTCAGTGATATTAAGCACCTGTGAAAAAAGAGGCCTCTTTGCCTTCATTATACATCTGGGACCCGTAAGATCTTTCCTTTCTGGAAATTTTACTTCTTTTTTCTGCCGTCTAGATTCAGACAAAACAGATGTTGTGGATATTGTTAGTAAATCTTTTTGCAGGTCCTTATGTTTCTTGACAATAGAACCACCCACTTTCCTTCTAGAGCTTTCATTACATGAATCTCCACGCGCTGAGATCCCTGACTTGGGAAGTGGGATATTTTGATCAGCTGTGTATTTTGTTACTTTTTGAGTTTTTATGTCTTTCTCTTCTTCAGGTTGTAGGGAAGCTGGACTGGAAGCATCCAGCCTCCTTGTGGGATTCCCAGCAGATGGAGTCCTACACCCTGCCTCATCAGTTAAAAGGCCATCGAACATCGCTGTCCCTCTTTTTATACATAAAATCTTTTCACTTTTTCTATGCAGTATGTTTCTATATGGTGGGATGTTCTTCTTCACCTTTTCAGTCTGAAGTGGAATTATCAGAGGAGAACAGGTAGACTCCAATATATTTTCTGAAACTAGTGTTTGTTGCTGCATGTCTTGCTCTGTAAGAAGCATATTTTCATCTTTTCTACTTTCTGTCCTACTCAGGAATTGTAGACCTGTTTTGAATACAAATTCCTTGCCCTCTCTTTCATTTTGCCATCTTGACTCAGATGTGGTGCCCAAGGCACTCCATCTTTTACACAGTCTTTTCCTGTCCTCTGGTTTTAGCTGTATAATACTGACTTTGACTGGGTCTTTCTTGGCTTCCAGTTTTTTATGTGTTTTGGTGGCAGGTGAAACAGGTGTAGGTGAAAAAGAAGTATTTGTAAATGTATTTGACATACTCTGAGATAACTCTTTGGCCATGTTATCAAAGGTGTAGACCAGTTCCTTTCCACGGCTGGGGGCACTGGGACTAGCGGTATTAGTTGTCTTCAAAACTGATGCCACCTGGGCTTCCCCAGTTTGAGATGTAGGGATCAATGCTACATTTCTCAACCCTTTAATTTCAGATGAATCCGGCCTGGAGATACAGAGAGACTGTAGCGCTCTCCCTTGTAAATCCACTTGTAATTCTTTCTTTCCCTCTGGACTAGAACTAGCAGGTTCCTTTGTTGGGTCTGTTTCAGACAGGACGTCACTTGGTACTTTAACAGCTAAAGATTCACCGAGTAACTTCTCTGTCACTGGAGAAAAAATCCTTGACCTCTGTGTTTTTGTGCTTTTTGGTGCCTTCTCAGATGGAAGTGAATTCAAAATAGAGGAAGACACAGAACGCAAGACACTTTGTGTGAAAAACGTGTGTTGTTGCAGCTCCTCCGCTATGGTTAGTGATTCTGGGATTTTCCCCCTTGCTGAATACTTCTGTTTGAGGTCTGATTTCACAAAGTGAGGCTCCTTCATATGATGAGCATGGAAAGTGAGGTGCTGGAAATTCCGAGGCGCTGCTTCTCCACTGTGGCCTTGAGGTTCCTTCCTGACGTTTCCCCTCTTGGCCCTAGGATAGGGACACCAGGCTTTCCCACCATCTGGCCAGTGTCCTTGCTGCTGTAGCTCGGGATGGAACCTCGTCTTCCCCGGCACGTCCATCTCTGCTTTCTTTCTGTTATGCACCTTTCTGTCCAGTGAAACCGACACAGAAGAGGAAGTGGCATTCAGCCTGGTGGCTGCCAATGACTGAACTTGTTTCCTCATGGTTGTGAATTTGCCTTCAAGTTGCCTACCACGGCTTGGCCCACCACGTTTTGTGACATTAAATGTCTTGGAAATCGGTGCCTTCTTTGCCTTCAAAGTGATACATTTGGGACTCATTTTATTTCTCTTGTCTCTAAGCTCTGAGTGGTTTCTCTCTCTTTTCGAGACAGGTAAAGCAAGTGTGGCTGCATCCCAGAACTCCAGCATTGTTGCCAGCAACTCTCGGGCTCCTCCTTCCTTTCTTTCTGCAGTCACATCTCCTAGCGCCCTGGCATATTTTATCTCAATCAAAAACTCAACGATCTGTGATCGCAGGGTTTTTGAAGGGAGAGTTTTCAGACAGCCATTCCCAGGGATGTTAAATATCTGCGACATTGTTGCCTTTCTTGCCTTCATAACAACACACCTGGGACTCATTTTACTTTTTAAGGCTCTACATGTAAATGTCTTTCTCCCCTGTTTAGGTTCAGGGGGATCAGGTGTGGCGGTAGCTGAAGACTCGGGGACAGGTGCTCGTAGATCTTTTTTAAACTCTGACTTTTCCTCTTTACCATGGTCATCCAGTTCTCCCATGTGGCTCTCATCACTTGGGATGCCACATTTCACTGTATCAGTTACAACTTGACTGGTTAGTGATTCCTTCAACTTTAGAAGAGGAAAGTTTGAACTCGCTGACCACACTGTGCCATTTTGTGTCTGCTGGCTTCTCTTCGGCTGTGTCGCCTGCACTGGATCTGCAGGCTGTGTGTGCTGGGGGATGTCCTGTTTGGTAACAAATAGAGTTTTCCCACATCCTTTGTTTCCTGGTTTGTGAAGCTCAAGCTCCTTCGTCTGGTCTGAACAGAGTATGAAATGTTGGCTGTACTGTGGAATTACTTTTAATAACATCTTCTGTTCACTTTCTTCATCTTGAAGATCACCTTCTTTGGGGTCATCTGGAGTCACATTCCCTTTGTGTGGGGATATATTTTGCTTTACCTGTTCAGAACTGAGTCTTTTTTCTCCTAACATGTCTTCTTCCCCTTCTCGGTCACTATACCTATTAATGGCAGGGATGATGTTCAGGAGGGAGTCCCTGCTGTCTGCAATTTTTGTACCCTGACCCACGTGTCCCATTTTGGTGGTCAAGTTATATCCCAATTTTTTCCTACGATTTCGTCTAGCACCACCCTTGATATTGAGCATGTATGAAATGGGTGGTTTTTTTGCTTTTAAAATTCTACATTTGGGATTCATCAAGATTTTCATGTCTGAATATTGTTTGAAGTTTCTCTTGCCTTTAGATAGAGATAAAGCAGCCATGCAGAAAGCTAAAGTCATTTTCTCTTCCTTTTCAGTACCACCAGCTTGTTCCTTTTGATGGTTTGCCTCAGATGGGACACCACCTTCTCTTGCAGAAAATATTTTTTCATCAAACTTTGCTTCTCCTGACATTGGAGGAAAAAACCTAGCATCGCTCTCTAGCTTTTTCAGTTGAAATGGATCTAGTGTTGGGCATGAAGCAGAGCTCAAAATACTCTCTGCAAAATGTGTTTGTGGTTGTATCTGGATATTTATACTTCCTGTTCGTTTCAGCCCTTCATCTGATTTGATAAGGTCATGATCCTGCTCCTGATATGTACTGAATATGAAGCCTTGGCCACTCTCTGGAATTGGTAAATCTTGTTCCCCTGCCCCCTCCTTCCTGTCTTTCACACTGTTAGATAAACTGCTCATATTGATAGAAGCTGGGCAACATACTTTTCTTTCATTGGGTGATTTCTCTTGCATCTGTGTATGATCAAGTCTTGTTATCCTTTGTGTGTCTCTCTCCACATTTAATCTGATGCTCATTTTGGTGTTTGGCAAAACAGGCACCCTGGAGAGAATGACAGGTGAACACACATCTCCTGTGTTTTTATTTTTCTGTAAATTCTTCATTTTAAAATTGCATTGCAATGCCTCTCCCTGCCTGCCAGGGAGCATACGCAGAATGGATGGGATCTGTTCTCTCATAGCTCTGTATCTACGACTAACCGTTATTTGCTTTCTTGCTAATTTTAGTGTGTTTTTCTTTCTTTGAGATTTAGAAACGAAGGTGTCAACGGAATCAGAAGATTGCAAGAAGGTCACTTGCAAACTTTCTGGTACCTCTGAATTTTTATCCACAGAATAAGAACCTAGTTCCCTTGTAAGGTTTCCACCAGAGGCTACGCCACACTCTGTTGGAATGTTCAAAAGTTTCACAGGTGATAAGTTCCCTGCCTCGGGAGGTAGAACCTCCAGACCCGCAGGAGCTGTTAGGTCATCTTCTGGTTTGTTGGTCTTCAGGAGTTCCTCAGCTTCTTGAGGACCCATCTGGACATCAGTCTGCAGAGCAGCTCGTTTAAAGCATGTTTGGTGCTGTGTATCTTGCTCCTGTGTTAAATGGTGCAGGCCTGCATCTGGTTTGGCAAGGTGAGTCTCCTTTCCTCGACATCCATTGATCCAGAGGTACTGGGTATGTTGCGGAGCCGTTATTTGCAAAGTCTTTTGTTCCTTTTCCTCTGTATCTTGTACTTTTTCTTCTCTATCACAGAGTGCATTACTCTCATCAAAAAGATCAACATACAGTGGTCTCTCTTCAATGGCTAGACCCCGGAGCTTTGCCTGAACATGGCAGAAGCTCTTTGTCTCTCCTTGTAACCTGCTATGCACAGGAGAGTAAAGGGTGTTTAGATATTCATATTCCAGTCCATTAGCTTGGCTGATCTTTTCAAACTTGGCCTTAAGCTCAGATTTCAGTTTCTTTCTTTGATGACCTGTGATATTACACATTTGTGAAATGGATGGCTTCAAAGTCTTCATAGGTACGGACTTGGAGTTCACTCTACATTCTATGCGTGAAGATCTTACTCTAGTTTTCTTCACTTTAGAGTGAGATAAGATAGGCATGTGGCAATTAAAAGTCTTTGGGAAAACTGCTGGTAAATCTTTGGGTCGTTCCGCCTTCATTTCTGCAAAACAGTAACCTGTTTCCCTGGTATCACTTCCATCATCTGGGACATCACTTTCTCTTGTGTGATTTAAAGGGTCTCTAATCAGTGATTTTTCTGATGTGGGAGGAGACATCTCAGAATCATCTGCAGTGCATCTTAAATCTGCGGGGGCTGTCAGGCTTTTCTCCATATTCTCAACATGAACGGAACCTGTTGTGGCCATGAGAATAGACTCTGCCATGATTTCTGCAAATGTCATTAGTTGTTGCATTTCTTTCATGGATTTAAGCTCTTTCTCTGGATCTTCATTCAATCTGCGATTCCACCGATCCTCAAGGACTGCTTCTGGTGAAGCTTCCTGGTCCCCGCTTACGTGCCCCTGCAACCGAGCTGCTTCTAGTGTGTTTCCAGAGTCGCTTCCTTTATTAGTGATAGCTGAATAGTCGTCCTCTCTTTCAGCTTCTGATGTCTCTTGTTTTAGCTTGGTGTGACTGTGATTCCCTACATTTAATCTGCTGTGCATTCTAACATGGGGCAAGATAGACAGATGAGGGCCAATAACATTCAGAAGTGTACCTGCCGTGGTTTTGTCTTGCAGTATGTGTTTAATCATGACTTTGAAATTGCTTCTTAATCTTCTTCTGTGACATTTTGGTGGCTTCTTTACTTTCATAATTACACATTTTAAACTGAGTACATTTGTGGTTCCTATTATTTTTTTTCTGATTTTCTTCCTTTTCAAATTTGATAAAGGAGGCATATGCCTATGGAAAGACCCCAGGGCAACTTCAGGTAAAACCCCTTCTAAGTCCTGCTTTTCTTCTGCAATCTGAGCATCCAGGGACTTCTCAGGGCTTCCACCCAAGGGGACATGACATTCTGTTGATTCAGTTAAAACTGGCAAGCTCTCTAACATGGTGAGAGGATGCACTGGGTCTGCAGTTTCCCTGCCTGTAGGTCTGTCTGTGCTTTGCTTCACCTCACCTTGAAGTGGATCCATCGTGGGGCATCGGCTAGTCCCCACAGTTGTCTCTGTAGAGACGGTTTGTGGGTGTACGTCGAGCTCTTTATTTTGAGTGGTTCGACCTTTTGAACTACTCTGTCCTAGTTCCAGTTTGACATACGTGGGCTTCTGCTGTAGTTGTAGGCTGAACCTGAAACCTGGCGTTAGTTGCGAAGCTGCTTCTTGTGGAGCCTGTTGTTCTTCCTCTCTGTCGTCTTCTTGTGGTTTTTTAACTAGACAGTTCTTCTCAAAGGAAAAATACATTTCCCTGTCATCTGGTAATTCGCCTGGCTTTACTGCTGAAAAACTAAACTTTATTTCTGAGGTATCCATCTTGGTTTTTAATCCACTCTGCATTTTCAGCCGAGGTGGTAAAGAAAGGGCAGTATGAGTGGCTTCGTGAAACATAGCAGATGCTCTTTCATCTTGCATATTGCTCATGGTGCTGCTAGCGCTGCTTTCGAGTTCCTCACTTCCACTTATGTCATCTTCTTCCATCACGTGAACTCTTAATGCTTTCTTTTCCTTCTCAGTCACATCTTCTGGCCTCTCCTGAATTTCTACACCTGCTGGTTGTCCACTGCTTTTATGCTTTTTGGCTCCTAGGGAAACAAACAAGTTGACGTCGGAAGACTCCAGAACAATTTCAAGATCTTTCCTGTCTGTGTTCCCCTGTGAGACGCACCTTTGCATTTCTGATACACTCGTTGGTAACTCCTCTCTGCTTGAAAGGTCAGGATTTGAATCCTCTGTACCTTGTAGGTCCTCCCATGTTTTCATGTTTCTGTCCGACTTCATCTGGGGAGAGGAAACCTTCTTCAAAGGTTCTGATATGGCTTCTTCTAAAGGTGTCTCTTGCCTGGCAACAGGCAGGTCAGATGTTGTTTTGCTATTTGGGGCACACGACTCTGCCATATCCATTTCCTTTGGATCTTCAAGAGACTCTTTATTCGTCCAGTTTGTTTCTATTAATGGAGGACAAGGTACTTTTTGTGGATAAGTATTGACCATGAAAGACTGTTCTAGCTGAGATGGAACTTCTTGTGAAATGTTTTCCAGCTCTTTATTGTTTCTGCCATGCTGCTCTTCACTTTCAGTACTCCCCGTGGTTCCTTTTTCCTCAACAGACCCTACGTAATTAACTTTCTCTGCACATAGTGACTGATCTGGTTTTGACAGAAAATCTTTACATTCTGTTAAACCTGGAGTGAATTTCGCTTGTCTTTTCCTGGAATACTTCCTAATATAAGGAGGGACAAGCTTGAAAGCATATGTAAAATGCAACGCTATACCTGATACACCTTTTCTTTGATGTAACTCTATCTTCTTAGTTTTATGCTCATATCTTAACTGCCTGCACTCTGCAGTGTGACAGGCTGTGGTCTGAAATACCTGTGAAGCCGGTGTTTTCTTTGACTTCTGAGGCGGATCTTTAAGGCTAAGTTCACTTTTACTGCGTGACCTTTCTCTTCTGTTTTTCTGCCTGGTCATGAGAGGCAGTGAGCCATATGCAGGAGACTGGTTTAATGTTGAGAAAGCAATTTGTTTCTGGCCCTCAGTCTTAACATGCTCTAGTTGTGGCATCACTTTAGCAACTGAAGTTGGGCTCGGAGGTAAAACTAGGTGTCTGGCATCCTTTAAAACAGTGTCTTGCCCTGGGGTGGAATATTTAATCTTGTTTGAATCTTCAGACCAGACAGAATCCTGGGCCTCGTCTGAGTGTTTTGTGTCAGGCCCTAGGCCCTTGACTGACTCTTGAGTCTCAGCAGACTGTGGAACTTGGACCAGGCGTTGGCTCCTATCCGTGTCTAGGGTCTGGAAGGCGTCTTGGGTGCTGCTGGAAAGAGGCTCCCTCACCGGATCTCGAGGCAGAGCAGAGCCTTGGGTGCTGCTGGAAAGAGGCCCCCTCACCGGATCTGGAGGCAGAGCAGAGCCTTGGGTGCTGCTGGAAAGAGGCCCCCTCACCGGATCTGGAGGCAGAGCAGAGTCTTGGGTGCTGCTGGAAAGAGGCTCCCTCACCGGATCTCGAGGCAGAGCAGAGCCTTGGGTGCTGCTGGAAAGAGGCCCCCTCACCGGATCTCGAGGCAGAGCAGAGCCTTGGGTGCTGCTGGAAAGAGGCCCCCTCACCGGATCTGGAGGCAGAGCAGAGTCTTGGGTGCTGCTGGAAAGAGGCTCCCTCACCGGATCTCGAGGCAGAGCAGAGCCTTGGGTGCTGCTGGAAAGAGGCTCCCTCACCGGATCTCGAGGCAGAGCAGAGCCTTGGGTGCTGCTGGAAAGAGGCTCCCTCACCGGATCTCGAGGCAGAGCAGAGCCTTGGGTGCTGCTGGAAAGAGGCCCCCTCACCGGATCTCGAGGCAGAGCAGAGCCTTGGGTGCTGCTGGAAAGAGGCCCCCTCACCGGATCTGGAGGCAGAGCAGAGCCTTGGGTGCTGCTGGAAAGAGGCCCCCTCACCGGATCTGGAGGCAGAGCAGAGCCTTGGGTGCTGCTGGAAAGAGGCCCCCTCACCGGATCTGGAGGCAGAGCAGAGTCTTGGGTGCTGCTGGAAAGAGGCTCCCTCACCGGATCTCGAGGCAGAGCAGAGCCTTGGGTGCTGCTGGAAAGAGGCTCCCTCACCGGATCTCGAGGCAGAGCAGAGCCTTGGGTGCTGCTGGAAAGAGGCCCCCTCACCGGATCTGGAGGCAGAGCAGAGTCTTGGGTGCTGCTGGAAAGAGGCCCCCTCACCGGATCTGGAGGCAGAGCAGAGTCTTGGGTGCTGCTGGAAAGAGGCTCCCTCACCGGATCTCGAGGCAGAGCAGAGCCTTGGGTGCTGCTGGAAAGAGGCTCCCTCACCGGATCTCGAGGCGGAGCAGAGCCTTGGGTGCTGCTGGAAAGAGGCTCCCTCACCAGATCTCGAGGCGGAGCAGAGTGTCTGGCCTCTCTCTCAGGCTGCCTGCTGACTGATGCCTGACTGTTAAACAATTGGTGGGCTTCACCAGTAAATTGGGCTTTGGAAAATCCTTGACTCTGAGGAGCCTTTTGTCTGGAAAAAGAAGCTTGTGCTTGGGGAGAAATGTCCATTGTAGCAGAATGTTGATTCTGGATCAAGGGCTCTAGAGAGATTGAGCACAGAGAGGTAATTTTATTCTCTAATGTGGCTTTGGATTTTGAAGGGCTTTGATTTCTCACATTTTCTTCCAGAAGTCTGACTTGGTCTCTAGTAAGAAACAGATGGGCAGGAGGGCATGGTGCCACATCTATATCTTCACTTTCTATAATGATTCTCGAAGTTCTTGAAAAGTTAAAGTCAGAAGAAAACGTCCTATTTTTATTTTTGTTACTTTTCATTATGGAAAATAATTTCTTTGATGAAAATTGTATTGTTTCATGTTCATTTTTAGGACACCCACTACAACTTAGCAAAATTTCCTGTACTTCCGAATGAAATAGTGACAAAGATGATGAGCTAGTCCCATTTGAAGATGTCATATGACTTTCACTGAAGTGACTTACTCGAAATCTACTTTCACTGGTACTTGCCCGTGGTGGTTCATCTGGTGGTGGAATGCTGTCTTCAAAGTACTCTTCATTTCTTTCAGATGTAATTGATGAAGCAATTGTTCTCTCTGAAAAGTCATCAACTCTGAAATACAAGAAAACAGTGAGTCAGTTGTCACTGAGGACCTATTTCATATAAGAGCTCTCTTTGAAATTTAAGGAAATCCAATATAGTATATGAAAACATAGTTAAATGTAGAGATGAGTTGGGAAGTCATTATCCACATTACAAAATAATTCGTTACCTAGTTGCATTCATTCAATAAATCAATCCACTGACAAAGTGAAGTAAGCTATTTTCATATCTAGGAGAATGAGGAATTTTTTTCCACAAAAATCTGTCCAAAAGTCTACTTTTGACTGTCTATTTTGACAAAGTTGCAGATTAAGATCATATCCTTTTACGAGGAATATCAGTTTCTGTTCTCTGTATGACAATTTTGACAAGAATGACAACATCCTTATGGAAATTTAAGAGGTACAACAGAACAATGTCCAATGCCATAAACTATTGCTTTGTATAAGTCCTAATTGTTTAACAGCTGTTTGTTTTTGATCAAGAGAAAAGCCTACATTTTAGGGTAATGCTTCTCAACATAATTTTGGTTAAAATAATTAGAAGAGGGCGACAGAGGATGAAGATGGTTGAATGGCCTCACCGACTCAATGGACATGAACTTGGGCAAACTCTGGGAGATGGTAAGGGACAGGGAGGCCTGGTGTGCTGCAGTCCATGGGGTCACAAAGAGTTGGACACAAATTGGTGACTGAATAACAACAACGATGATCATGGAGGGCTTCCCAGGTGGCTCAGAGGTAAAGAATCCGCTTGCAAACGCAGGAGACTCGGGTTGATCCCTGGGTCAGGAAGAACCCCTGGAGAAGGAAATGGCAACCCACTCCAGTATTCTTGCTGGGAGAATTCCATGAACAGAGGAACCTGGTGGGCTATAGTCCATAGGGTTGCAAAGAGTTGGACATGACTTAGTGACTAAAGAGCAGCAGCAAATGATCATGGAAGTGGACCCTCCAGCATCCTTTCTACCTCAAATGATTAGGCTTGGTCTAACAATGCTCAGACCAACAACATCAGCATCACTTTGATCAGAAATGCAAAATCTCAGGTCCCACCCTAGACTTCCTGAATCAGATGCCCTAAGAGTGGGGCCTGGAAATCTGAATTTTAACAAACTCTCCAGGTGATTCTGATGTCCCTTAAGTTTTGTTTCACAGTTGTTATTGTTCAGTCACTAAGTCGTGTCTGACTATTTGTTTCATGGTCAGTTCAGTTCAGTTCAGTCGCTCAGTCATGTCCGACTCTTTGTGACCCCATGAATCGCAGCACGCCAGGCCTCCCTGTCCATCACCAACTCCCGGAGTCCACCCAAACTCATGTCCATCGAGTTGATGATGCCATCCAGCCATCTCATCCTCTGTTGTCCCTTTCTCCTCCTGTCCCCAATCCTTCCCAGCATTAGGGTTTTTTCCAATGAGTCAACTCTTTGCATGAGGTGGCCAAAGTATTGGAGTTTCAGCTTCAGCATCAGTCCTTCCAATGAACACCCAGGACTGATCTCCTTTAGGATGGACTAGTTGGGTCTCCTGGGAGTCCAGGGGACTCTCAAGAGTCTTCTCCAACACCACAGTTCAAAAGCATCAATTCTTTGGTGCTCAGCTTTCTTCATAGTCCAACTCTCACATCCATACATGACCACTGGAAAAACCATAGCCTTGATTAGACGGACCTTTGGTGGCAAAGTAATGTCTCTGCTTTTTAATATGCCACCTAGGTTGGTCATCACTTTCCTTCCAAGGAGTAAGCGTCTTTTAATTTCATGGCTGCAATCACCATCTGTACTGATTTTGGAGCCCAAAAAAATAAAAGTCTGACACTGTTTCCATTGTTTCCCCATCTATTTCCCATGAAGTGATGGGACCAGATGCCATGATCTTAGTTTTCTATGTTTCATGGTAAGGTACCCTAAAATCATAAACTGAAACTCATATAAGCTAAGTCAAAACTTCTGGTGGCTCTTTCCAGGGAACACAGACTATTTTGTCCTTTACTGGAAGAATGACCCTAGATATAATAACCCATCATCTGAGCAAAGCCATGAAGCTAATAAATAAAATCATCAACATATACCCCCATCACATAAATAGTTTTTTCTAAATGTTTACTTATACAGGAAAATCTCATTGATTTGGATTCTGCTAATTATTAATAGAATTTGGAGTATTTTAGACTGAACTGTTGATTACCTTTTTCCACAGAAAACACAAAATTATTAGGTGAATGTTTACAATACATTAAATACTTTTCAAGTTCTCTCTACTGTTAGGAGAATCTATTAATGTCTAATATACAGCCTGCATACACATTTTTGTTACCTAGTGTGGTAGTCAATTTTGTGTGTCAACTTGCCTGGGCTGAGGAATGCCCAGGCAGCTGGTAAAACACTATTTCTGAGTGCCTGTGAGGATGCTTCAGGAAGAGATTCACATTAGAATCAGCAGCCTGAAGATACAGAAGATATGCCCTCCCCAATTGGCTGGGCATCATCTCATCCACTGAGGGCTCCAATAGAACAAATAGATGGAAGAGCAAACTCTCCATCTCTTCTTGATCTGGGATGTCCATCTTCTGCCCTCAGACATCAGAGCTCCTGATTCTTGGGTCTTTGAGCTCTGAGACCATCCAGCGCTGCACAACTCCCTGCCACCCCAGGACTTCTGCCTTGGGCTGAATCATACCACTTGCTTTTTGGGGTCTCCAGTTTTTATTTGGTAGATCAGGGGACTTCTCAGCCTCTATAACCATGCAAGCCAATTCCTATAAATCTCCTTTTATCTCTCTCTCTCTCTCTCTCTTGCATTGGTTCTATTTCTCTGCAGAACCCTGACTGATACACCTATCCATCATCTTTAGCATCATGTCACCTTTTGTATCACCATCTGGGCTTATGACTAAAGCAAAATTATGGCCTGGAGTAATAATCATGGATGCTGACTCTTCAACATACATTCTACTTCAAGGGATTACGCTAAATCTAACATAGTAATATCATTTCCAAGTAATTAAATAAGGAGTGGGTATGAACTAATCCCAGTATAAGACAAAGACATTTGACAGCTTCTGGGAAAAGTTGCCTTGTTTCTAAGAAAGACACAGAGAGAATTGGCCTCTTACATCCTCTGGACATTGCTGGTCTGATTTTGAAACTCTTGGCAGCCATCTTTCTATTTACCTCAAGGTAAAACCAACACCAAGAAAGGCAGAGGGAGGGGCCCCCCTGGTGGGCCAGTGGCTAAGAAACCACCTTCCAGTGCACGGGACATGGGTTCGATCCCTGGCTGGGGAACTAAGATCCCACATGCTGTGGGGCAAGTAAGCCCACGTACCACAACTAGAGAAGCCTGTGCACCACAGTGAGGACCCTCACTGTGGGGGTCATGTGCCATGACTAAGACCCAACACACCCAAAAACAAATATTTATAAATAAATAAATACAAATAGAACAACCACGTTACGTGAATAAAGCCCCTTTACACCTGACAACCAAAAGAAATTAGACTAAAGTCAAGTAATCTTCAGGTTCTTACTCCACACAGCTACTAGTGATTCAGCTGAAACACAAAATTGTCACTCCTATGCTCAACCACCTTCAGCAGTTCCTCACTACCTACAGAATAAACTCCAAGCTTTTCACATGGCAATACAGAGTTTGTATAGTCAAACCTATGGTCTTTTCAGTAGTCATATACAGATATAAGAGTTGGATCATAAGGAAGGCTGGGCACCAAAAAATTGAGCCTTACGAACTGTGGTGTTGGACAAGACTCCTGAGAGTCCCTTGGACAGTAACGTGATGAAACCAGTCTAATCCTAAAGGAAATCAACCCTGAATATTCATTGGAAGAACTGATGCTGAAGCTTCAATACTTTGGCCACCTGATGAGAAGAGCCGAGTCACTGGAAAAGACCCTGATGCTGGTAAAGATTGAGGGCAGGAGGAGAAGTGGAAGACAGAGGATGAGATGGTTGGATGGCATCACTGACTCAATGGACATGAGTTTGAGCAAACTCCAGGAGATGGTGAAGGACAGGGAAGCCTTGTGTGCTGTGATCTATGGGGTTGCAGAGTTGGACATGACAGTGATTGAACAACAAAATGAGAGAAGGTCCTTTATGATCTGACTGCTGCCTGTTTTTTCACATTCATCTCCCACAACTCCCCGGCCCATCCTCACCATTCCAACAACCCTGAAATAATCATAATTTGTTGTACATACCCTGCTGTTTCTTATTTCCTTGCCTCTGTTCATGGCCTATAAGGCCTTTTTTATTCTCCCAACCAGTGTCTTTTTTCTGACGAATTTCCACTTACCCTTTACAGTTCAGCTCCAGTATAACCTTCTCCATGAAGCCATTCTCAATATCCCCTAGGCTGGTGTAGGTGTCTCCTAAAATGTTCTCCTAGATTTCTGATCATCATGCTACCATACTGCAAGAAATCATCCTTTTATGCATAGAAACCAACGAAAATGAAAACACAACAACCGAAAACCTATGGGGCTCAGTAAAAGCAGTGGTAAGGGGAAGGTTCATAGCAATACAGGAGAAACAAGAAAAAAGTCAAATAAATAACCTAACTCTACACCTAATTCAACTAGAAAAGAAAGAACCCCAGAGTTAGTAGAAGGAAAGAAATCATAAAAACTAGGGCAGAAATAAATGTAAAAGAAACAAGAGACCATAGCAAAAATCAACAAAGCTAAAAGCTGGTTCTTTGAGAAGATAAATAAAATAGACAAACCATTAGCCAGACTCATCAGGAAACGAAGGGAGAAGAATCAAATCAACAAAATTAGAAATGAAAATGGAGAAATCAAAACAGACAACACAGAAATACAGAGGATCATAAGAGACTACTCTCAGCAGCTATATGCCAATAAAATGGACAACTTAGAAGAAATGGACAAATTCTTAGAAAAGTAAAACTTTCCAAAACTGAATCAGGAAATAGAAGATCTTAACAGACCCATCACAAGCATGGAAATCAAAACTGTAATCAAAAATCTTCCAGCAAACAAAAGCCCAGGACCAGACGGCTTCACAGTTGAATTCTACCAGAAATTTAGAGAGGAGCTAACACCTATCCCACTCAAACTCTTCCAGAAAATTGCAGAGGAAGATAAACTGCCAAACTCATTCTGTGAGGCCACCATCACCCAAATATCAAAACCAGACAAAGATGCCACACACACAAAAAAGACTACAGGCCAATATCACTGATGAATGTAGATGCAAAAATCCTTAAAATCCTAGCAAACAGACTCCAACAACATATTAAAAAGATCATACATCATGACCAAGTGGGCTTTATCCCAAGGATGCAAGGATTCTTCAATATCTGCAAATCAATCAATGTAATACACCACATTAACAAATTGAAATATAAAAACTATATGATTATCTCAACAGATGCAGAGAAAGCCTCTGACAAAATTCAACATCCATTTATGATAAAAACCCTCCAGAAAGCAGGCATAGAAGGAACACACCTCAACATAATAAAACCTATATATGACAAACCCACAGCTAACATTATCCTCAGTGGTGAAAAATTGAAAGCATTTCCTCTAAAGTCAGGAACAAGACAAGGGTGCCCACTCTCACCACTACCATTCAACATAGTTTTGGAAGTTTTAGCCACAGCAGTCAGAGAAGAAAAAGAAATAAAAGGAATCCAGATTGGAAAAGAAGAAGTAAAACTCTCACTGTTTGCAGATGACATGATCCTCTACATAGAAAACCCTAAAGACTCCGTCAGAAAATTACTAGAACTAATCAATGAATATAGTAAAGTTGCAGGATATAAAATTAACCCACAGAAATCTCTTGCATTCCTATACACTAACAATGAGAAAACAGAAAGAGAAATTGAGGAAACAATTCCATTCACCATCACAATGAAAAAAATAAAATACTTAGGAATAAATCCACTTAAAGAAACAAAAGACCTATATATAGAAAACTATAAAACACTGATGAAAGAAATCAAAGATGACACAAACAGATGGAGAAATATACCATGTTCATGGATCGGAAAAATCAATATAGTGAAAATGAGCATACAATCCAAAGCAATCTATAGATTCAATGCAATCCCTATCAAGCTACCAACAGTATTTTTCACAGAACTAGAACAAATAATTTCACAATTTGTATGGAAATACAAAAAAACCTTGAATAGCCAAAGCAATCTTGAGAAAGAAGAATGGAACTGGAGGAATCAACCTGCCTGACTTCAGGCTCTACTACAAAGCCACAGTCATCAAGACAGTATGGTACTGGCACAAAGACAGAAATATAGATCAATGGAACAAAATAGAAAGCCCAGAGATAAATCCATGCACCTATGGACACCTTATCTTCGACAAAAGAGCAAGAATATACAATGGAGAAAAGACAATCTCTTTAACAAGTGGTGCTGGGAAAACTGGTCAACCACTTGTAAAAGAATGAAACTAAAATACTTTCTAACACCATACACAAAAATAAACTCAAAATGGATTAAAGATCTAAATGTAAGACCAGAAACTAGAAAACTCCTAGAGGAGAACATAGGCAAAACACTCTCTGACATAAATCACTGCAGCATCCTCTATGACCCACCTCCTAGAATATTGGAAATAAAAGTAAAAATAAACAAACGGGACCTAATTAAACTTAAAGGCTTTTGCACAATGAAGGAAACTATAAGCAAGGTGAAAAGACAGCCTTCAGATTGGGAGAAAATAATAGCAAACAAAGCAACTGACAAGAATTAATCTCAAAAATATACAAGCAGCTCCTGAAGCTCAATTCCAGAAAAATAAATGACCCAGTAAAAAAATGGACCAAAGAACTAAAGAGACATTTCTCCAAAGAAGACACACAAATGGCTAACAAACACATGAAAAGATGCTCAACATCACTCATTATCAGAGAAATGCAAATCAAAACCACAATGAGGTACCATCTCACACCAGTCAGAATGGCTGCTATCAAAAAGCCTACGAACAATAAATGCTGGAGAGGGTGTGGAGAAAAGGGAACCCTCTTACACTGTTGGTGGGAATGCAAACTAGTACAGCCACTACAGGAGAACAGTGTGGCAATTTCTTAAAAAACTAGAAATAGAACTACCATATGACCCAGCAATCCCACTGCTGGGCCTACACACCAAGGAAACCAGAATTGAAAGAGACACATGTACCCCAATGTTCATCGCAGCACTGTTTATAATAGTCAGGACATGGAAGCAAGTTAGATGCCCATCAGCAGATGAATGGATAAGAAAGCTGTGGTACATATACACAATGGAATATTACTCAGCCATTAAAAAGAATTCATTTGAATCAGTTCTAATGAGGTGGATGAAACTGGAGCCTATTATACACAGTGAAGTAAGTCAGAAAGAAAAACACCAATACAGTATACTAATGCATATACATGGAATTTAGAAAGATGATAACGATGACCCTGTATGTGAGACAGCAGAAGAGACACAGATGTAGAGAACAGTTTTTGGACTCTGTGGGAGAAGGTGAGGGTGGGATTGAGAGAATAGTATAGAAACATGTACATTATCATATTGGAAACAGATCGCCAGTCCAGGTTTGATGCATGAGACAGGGTGCTCAGGGCTGGTATACTGGGATGACCCAGAGGTATGGGATGGGGAGGGAGGTGGGAGGGGGGTTCAGGATGGGGAACACATGTACACTTGTGGCTGGTTCATGTCAATGTATGGCAAAAACCACTACAATATTGTATAGTACTTAGCCTCCAATTAAAATAAATAAATTAAAACAAAAACAAAACAAACAAACAAAATCATCCTTTATGAATATGTCTCCTCCCCAAGCATATAAGCTTCTTGAGAAGAGACACTATCTTATTATTTGTGCATGCAGGCTCAGTCACTCAGTCGTGACCAACTATCTGTGACCCCACAGACAAATGAGGAAAAGAAAGCTTAAAGTTTAAGTGGCTTGTTTACCTACCTTGACCTCTCTCTTCAATACAAATGAATAAGTAATAATCACCAGTTCTGATAATTCCACTGAAAAATATTTATTTAGCACCTATCATAGCCTGCCAGGCTCCTCTGTCCATGGGGATTTACCGGCAATAATACTGGAGTGGGTGGTCACTGCCTCCTCCAGGGCTTGTTATTTGAATACCAGTGTAAAATCCAAGGTCCATTGTATAGGGATATCTAATGATTACTGAATGGATTTTGATGAAAACAATTAAAATGTTGATAGCAACAAAAGTAGCAATGTCAGTATTTAATCTATAGCACTCATGTATCCTTAGGATGCGGGATGAATTCTGATTGTATAAACTCCTTTCATGTCACTTTTGAAGAACCGAGCTCAGGGTCTGCTGGGTTCACAGTAGGTGCTAAATTAATATTTTTTTCAGTTGAATTATCAGAACTTGTCATTATTACTTCTTTGTACTAGAGAGAGAGGTTGGGGTAGAGAAGGAAGCAAGCCACTTAACCTCTAAGCTTCATTTTCCTCATTTGTAAAAACAGGAATGATGCTCTGTGGCTACCTAAATGGGAAGGAAATCCAAAGGAGAGGGGACGTATGTACGTGTATGATTCACTGGTTCACTCTGCTGTCAGCAGAAACTGACACAACATTATAAAGCAACTGTGCGCATGCTCAGTCACTTCAGTCATGTCTAAGTCTTTGCAGTCCTGGAGTGTAACCCACCAGGTTCCTCTCTCCATGGAATTCTCCAGGTAAGAATACTGGAGTGGGCAGCCATTTCCTTCTCCAGATTCCCAACCCAGGGATCAATCCTGGGTCTCCTGCATTGCAGGTGGATGCATTACCATCTGAGCCACCAGGAAGCCCCAATATATACATTATATACATATATGTATTCGTACATACTCTGAAACAAATTAAAAAAAAAAACAGTAATGATACTATCTACCTGGAAGGATAATTTCAACAATATATAAAAAGCCATTAATACAGTTTGGAATAGTGCAACCATTTAAAAATCAAAGTTAAAAAACAGAACTACCACATGACCCACCAATCCCACTCCTGGGCATATACCCAGAGAATACCATAATTCAAAAAGATGCATGAACCCCAGTGTTCACTGCAGCGCTGTGTACAATAGCCATAACATGGAAGCAATCTAAATGTCCATCAACACAGGAACGGATAAAGATGTGGTACATGCATACAACGGAATATCACTCAGTCGTTAAAAGGAATGAAACTGTGACATCTGCAGAGATGTAGATGGACCTAGAGACTGCCATACAGAGTGAAGTAAGTCAAAAAGAGAAGAGCAAATACTGAATGTGTCATATGTGGACTCTAGAAAAATGATACAGATGAACTTATTCACAAAATGGAAATACAGATGTAGAGAAGAAATGTATGGATACCAAGGGGGATAGAGGGGTGGGATGAACTGGGAGACTGGGACTGACCTACATACACTGCTATGTATAAAGCAGATAACTAAAGAGAGCCTAGTGTGGAGCCCAGGGAGCGCTACTCACTGCTCAGCGGGGACCTAAAGGGGAAAGAAAGCCAAAAAAGAGGGGAGATATATATATATATATATAAGACTCATTCACTTTGCTGTACAGTAGAAGCTAACGTAACTTTGTAAAGCAACTATACTCCAATAAAAATCCATTTAAAAAATAAAAATCAAAGACTGAATTATGATGTTGAACTGCTGTTGTACTCTATACAAATGGGAAAACTCTTTCCTGTCATTCAGATGTAATTTTGAATAGAACAAAACCAATCTGTTTCATCTAATTTGAAAATATATCATTTACCTTGCTTCTGAGGATGAAAGAGCTGACCAATTATCTAGAGAGAAATAGGAATAAAAAAAAAAGTCAGAGTATCAATGGGAGAAGTTCAGACTGAACAAATTTTATATTAAAATATGAAATTGTATCGAACTGAACTGAACTGATAAAATTGTAGGATACTTACCAAATTTCATGCTTTTCAGACAACTTTCATTGTCTTCTTTCTGTGGAGAGACAATAAAATGTTAGAGTAATCCAAATATCAAAGTGACACAATTTTATAACTTATTCTTCTGTGTTATTTTGAAAAATCTTGGAAACAGAAATCAAGCATTTTTTCTTACTTTGTGGACCTCTGACTTATCCTTTTCTGAAGGAAGTGCAGGCTTCTTCTGAAAGGACGTACAAATCTTTAGGAGTATGATCTCAAAAATAATTCCCAGGAAAATTATAAAGAAGATTGCCATCCAATTATTTTGAGAAGTCCAGGACTCTACAAGTTCCCATAATGTAAAAAATGTATCATTTCCCAACCCACCCTGCACCACTTTTTTAAAGAAATAAAATCGCTTTGACATTATTATGTAATATATGAAATAGATGGATCTCCTCATTCCAAAGCCCTTGATTCTGGATGCCCCAAAGCACAACAAGGTGGTATGCCCATCTCATAACCACATGCAACGCTTTGCCAGGAAAAAATGTCCAGTGCTGCTCAGCACCTTGTTAAGTACAGTGGTGATTGCTCTGGGTCTAAGTGCAGTCCATGTCATAGTGGGTATCCAACTGAGCTCATATCAACCTGCTTGAGCAATAATGAAAGATCACTGGTGAGACATGTATGATGCTATCTGTAGTTTTTAAAATTAAAAAATAACCCTCCGTTAATTTCACACAACCCTCCCCCCCACAATTCTATAAATAATTCCTTAGCACAGTTGGGATATAACTACACTGTAATTTTTAAAAATGTAGAACAAATTTGAATTGGAGAAAACCATTTTCTTTTACAACCAGGAAGTATATTTTATACTTCCTTGTGATCAGGAAAACATGAATGTAGGGTGGCAAGATTTAGCATTAAAACACACACACACACACAAACTAGATGCTGCAGTTTAATTTGAACTTCAGATAAATACCAAATAATTTTTTGGTATGTCTCACTGTCACTCTGCAGGACAGATAATCGCTTGTCTCTTGGGGGCCAGCCTGATGTTTTCTTAAAATAGGACACCTCATTTTATATTTCTTTTTGTTAGAGGTGTCAGCAATGTTCCTCTTCAATAATCTACTGTAATGCTGAAAACCAAAGTTAGATTTGGTGGGTTCTGGAATGGTCTCCTGGTGAATTTCCTCTTTACTCTATTTCTGGTGATATCAAGGAACAGCTACCTGTGATGCTTGCTGATGTCAGAATTAGGGTGGGGCAGAGCCAAAGTCTTAAGAGTCATAAGTATACAAAACTACTGGACTATTAGTGAAAATATTAACACTACCTTGGATTTAGAGCACTTTCCCTTGGGAGATGTACTGAATAAATACTTCCACTGTCTTCACTTGTTCAAGGTGGGCTGAAGAAAGAAGTATAGTTCTTTACACCAGAGTTAATTGTTCAGGCCTTCTCTGTTGCATAACTTTGAGTTGCAAGAAAGATTTCTTGAATTCTTACTAACCTAGAGCATTAGAGAGATCAATGACACATCCTAGGAGTTTATGATCTTAATTTAGGTTTAACTGTGATCTTGGGGTTTGTCTTTGCAAAGTATGTCTCACTGGGATGCATGGTATAGGAATTTCTTAGTTCTAGAAGAAACAATTCCTCTCGGCATTTCTAGGGTAAAATATACCCTCCTCTCTGACTCCCCTTCCATATATACAAACAGGGTGATTTTATTCTGCTGGGTTTTTCCATATTTAATGCAGCTAATGAAACACTCAACTTCTCTTGACCAATGGCAAGAGAAATTAAATTCATTTGATGTTTACTACCTTAAAGGGGATTCAACATTTTAACACTAACAAACTCTTTAGTTCTTTCCTTAGATCTTTTAAGTGATGACACTGAACCCGTTAATTAGTATACCACTAATATCTACCACTCCTACTAATGCTTAAGTTTGCATAGAGGTAAAGAAGTCTCCACTACCAGGGATTTGTTGTTCAGTTCAGTCGCTCAGTCATGTCTGACTCTTTGCGACCCCATGAACAGCAGCACGCCAGGCCTCCCTGTCCATCACCAACTCCCAGAGTCCACCCAAACCCATGTCCATCCAACCATCTCCTCTGTCATCCCCTTCTCCTCTTGCCTTCAATCTTTCCCAGCATCAGGGTCTTTTCCAATGAGTCGGTTCTTCGCATCAGGTGGCCAAAGTATTGGAGTTTCAGTTTCAGCATCAGTACTTCCAATGAATATTCAGGACTGATTTCCTTTAGGATTGACTGGTTGGATCTCCTGGGAGTCCAAGGGACTCTCAAGAGTCTTCTCCAACACCACAGTTCAAAAGCATCAATTCTTCAGCACTCAGCTTTCTCTATAGTCCAACTCTCACATCCATACATGACTACTGGAAAAAGCATAGCCTTGACTAGATGGACCTTTGTTGGCAAAGTAATGTCTCTGCTTTCTAATACGCTGTCTAGGTTGGTCATAACTTTTCTTCTAAGGAGTAAGCATCTTTTAATTTCATGGCTGCAGTCACCATCTGCAGTGATTTTGGAGACCAAAAAAATAAAGTCTGCCACTGTTTCCACTGTTTTTCCATCTATTGGCCATGAAGTGATGGGACCGGATGCCATGATCTTAGTTTTCTGAATGTTGAGCTATAAGCCAACTTTTTCCCTCTCCTCTTTCACTTTCATCACGAGGCTCTTTAGTTCTTCTTCACTTTCTGCCGTATGGGTGGTGTCATCTGAGTATGAGAGGTTACTGGTATTTCTCCCAGCAATCTTGATTCCAGCTTGTGCTTCATCCAGCTTGACATTTTACATGATGTACTCTGCATATAAGTTGAATAAGCAGGGTGATAATGTACAGCCTTGATGTATTCCTTTCCCTATTTGGAACCAGTCTGTTGTTCCATGTCCAGTTTTAACTGTTGCTTCTTGCCCTGCATACAGACTTCTCAGGAGGCAGGTCAGATGGTCTGGTATTCCCATTTCTTTAAGATTTTTCCACAGTTTGTTGTGATCCACACAAAGGCTTTGGTGTAGTCAACAAACCAGATGATTTTCTGGAACTCTCTTGCTTTTTTGAGGATCCAATGGATGTTGACAATTTGATCTCTGGTTCCTCTGCCTTTTCCAAATCCAGCTTGAGAATCTGGAAGTTCATGGTTCATGTACTGTTGAAGCTTTGCTTGTAGAATTTTGAGCATTACTTCTTGAGAGAAGATATGTGGCTCCCAAGGAGATACTTGGTTGGGGTAGTTCAAGAAAAGCTGTGAAGTGGTAAAGAGAATTTAAGGGCCTTAAAGGATGAGGATTGGTAGCAGACAAAGACTAACAAAAAAGCTTCAGGAGAAGGCAGAAAGACTTTGTTCCAAAACTTTGTGCAGAGTTTAGCTGGAGCACTATACATAGGTTCAGAGCATGGGGGAAAGAAAATAAGGTTAAAATGTTGGTAGAGCCTATCGGGGAGGGCCTTGAACTAAGGTCTTTAACCTTAACAATCACCTTTGGAGATCCACCAACAGTTTCTGAGTTAAAGGTGTCAAATGGTTTACTGGTACAAGGAGACAACAGTAAAATGAATTAGGCTACTGTAATTATACAGATGTGAATTGATGAGGGCTGGGCTTGTATACCAGGCAGTGTAAATGAAATGGGGGTAGAATCAGACTTTGATACTGAAAACATAGGATTTGGTAACTAAAAGGAAAGCAAATGGATTCAGGGGTGGTGTCGAAAAGCTAATGTGCAGGAGAAAGAACTTAAATCTCAAAGCTGGTTTGTCAAGGACAAGGTTCTCAACCTAGGAATTACTGACATTTTGGATAGGAACTTATTCGTAGTGGTTGGTTGTCCTGTGCATGGCAGGATGTTAGTAGAATCCCTTTCTTGTGAGGTGCCAGAAGCACTCCACCACAGTCATGACAACCAAAAATGCAGTTATGTGATCCCCACCCATGGCTTGGTACACAGTTCTCCAATGACAAGCTATTTCATCAATCAGTAGTTTCTTATGGGTAACTCAGGGAAAGCTGAGTTGTGCTGTCATGTCTGACTCATTGTGACCCTATGGACCATAGTCCACCAGGCTCCTCTGTCCATGGGATTCTCCAGGCAAGAACACTGGAGTGGGTTGCCATTTCCTTCTCCAGGGGAATCTTTCCAACCCAGGGATCGAACATGCATCTCCTGCACTGGCAGGTGAATTCTTTACTGCTGAGCCACCTGGAAGCCCAACTCAGGTCAGGAAAAAACCAACTTTAAATGAACTTCTACGTTATCCTTATATTTGCAATAGTTATCTTTGGTTATCCATATTATGCCTATAGTTTAGTGTGCAATCTTGAATATTATGACTACAAAGCCTGGTTAGTAACCTTTCAAATCTATTTCTTCATTGTACTTTTATACTGTAGCCTACATTCTAGTAAGTTTTCCTTTGTACTTTCCTTTTTATAGTTTCACTCCTGGTTTACAATATTATTTGTCAACTGATTTACACATATCATTATTATATTTGTCAGCTCTGGTTAAGTATTTTTTATGTTAATATTTTGATTAGTCTTATTTTAAAAGTATTAATTATACACTATTTTTAAAAATTAAGGCATCATTCAAGAAATTCAAATAGTAACGATTATACACTGAGTGACATGGAAATTTTGATTTTGTAGCAGTACATTTGGTTCTAATATACGCATTAAATCTAATATACACATTAGATACTGTTATCTAGATTTTTGTTATTTATGCACTATTTAGAAAAATTAAAATCCATTGACTTCATCAGGGCAGGAGAAACAAGGGACCTGAAAACAGGCTTTCTAGGCTGCCCTGGCTGTCGGAAGGGCCTAACCTGAGGTCAGCAGGGAAATCAGGGAGTTAATTTCCCTACTGTAGAGAAAGCACTGCCCACTACAAACGTATACATCATCAGCCTCATCATATTTTTTTGCATTCTTTATAGGAAATATAGAAACTAAGTTTTTCATATCTAACTCAATACCCTTCAAGTCTAGTCCAAGTGATACCTCCACTTCTCAAAGCAAAATTAAGAGCCCTAACTCTATCCAGATACAACACAGATGTTAGTTCCACTATTTACTCATTTCATTCTCTCCTTAATCAGAGAGCTTTAGACATCAAGTTCCCTTACTATATTAAACTCCCAAGTGTTTACTCACTGTTGTAAAAGCTAATGAAGCTTTGCCTGTAACAGACCTTCAGTAAACATTTATTCAATAAAAGTTGTTACTTTATTCTAAAAACAATGTTCAGAGTCCCCATATTTGAAAATGTATCTTCATCTATCCCTTGGGATTTAATAAAAGATTAGGTGACTTAGATGTATACATTCTATAAAACTGACTAGATTTACTAAAGCATTGTTTTTCCTTCATAAAGATGACACTGCTCTGCACAATTAAGAGGACTTTGTGAGCTGCACAGCAATAAGACAAAAGTTCTGTTGTAACAAAATTCAACATTTAATTTTTCAAAACTTAACTATATTAAAGAAAATAAATTATATTTAGACCACCTTCAATATTTGTACATCATCTTTATACAACTATACCAGTACTTTCAAGAGACATTTTATAGAGAACATTAATTTCACAATTAAAATGTGTTAAAAATGGGGGAACATGAAAGAACATTAAATAATCTGAAATATATCTCATAATGCTGAGAAGTATGCTCTTCTTTAACAAATTAACTGTATCTGTATTCAAAATAACATAGTCTTTAACTCATAGACCATTATTTCTTGTCCGTTTCAGTGATTTCCTTGATCCAAAACAAAATCTGTGTATTTATTTCTTTGAAAACATCATTTGTTGACCGTCCTTTCACTGCCATGGAATGATTTGCCTTCTCAATCCAGTGGATTTTATGAGGAGCTTGCATTTTCTGTGCCACTTTCTCCAACAAGTTCTAAAAGGAAAAAAGAAGATGATACTAGACTAATACCCTATTGGTGTTTCATAAAGATTTACTCTCTCCTACCCCACCTATACTTGGCATCCATTCACTAAATATTAAAACCTACTTTACAGATAACTTCTGAGGCAATGGATTGTGCAAGAAGTGACTACAGATTTCTTACATATAGCAACACCACAGAACAGATCAAGCATTCATTCTTGACAAGTCAAAAAAATTCTTCTAAAAAATATTTTTCCCAAGAAAATTATATATTCTGGAAAAGACACTAACATTTAGTAATATGTACATGTTACTCTTCCTCAAGAGTCAATTTTATAACAAATTTGAAGATCTGTTTAAATGTTGAAATGATAAAACAAATATACAGTCTAGTAATCCCAAATTCACAAGATTCAGATATTAATCCTTTGATTTGCTAAGTAAGAGTTAATCCATTTATCAACTAACTGTAAGGGGTTGAATATTGTCAGTATGCTTATAGTTTTAGGTTCCCCCCAGTCACAGGGTAACAAAGACACAAAAGGAGCATAGTAAAATCAGCATCTTTTTAAAGAGAATGAATGTTGCTGGTAGCATCTTGTTCCCAAGATGTTTCTTTCATTCTCTGTCATTCACACAAACAGCAAGTCATAATCACCTTTTCACACATTTCATCTGCTGAGCCTGACACAAACAGTACAGGATCTTTTATACGAAAGAGATCTTCATCTCTAAGTTTATGCTGCTGTTTTGGATGGTGCAGTGGATAGGAAATACAAATGAGACCTCGAACAAAATCATCAGCATCATCAGGCTCAATATGACACAGAACAGAAGCAGCTGCTCTTGAGCCCATTGAACGACCTAAAATCAATAAAAATCAAGTTCAGTTTGAAATACAGACATTCACATTAAGTAGTAGTGATGATAATGGCAGATTTAATTTACTATGCATCCATCATACTGCTTATCAATACTTAACCAACAGAAGGTGGCAATTAACAAGCCACAATACCCACAGACTTGTGAAGAGCTAAAAACTGATCCTAAATCAAATCTAAAAAAAAGAATAATTTTTTATTGAAAGAATACTTAAAGATGTAAAGACAAACCTTGTGAAGGAATCAGTTCAGAGGATGATTCAGGAATATAATAAAAGAAGACGTCTTTGGGTTATAATACGTATGTATAAGGCTTAAATTCGATTTAAATATTAAAGTACCTTGATGTTATACCTGGAAGTGACTTACCAAAACAAAACAAAAAGTCCTTAACTCTATTCCTGTCATTAATTTTAACTCTTGATTACCTATTCCTGTATTAATATAAGTAGATTTTAAAACAAGTATTCACAAGTATTGCAACTTACCTCCAAGGAAAACACCTGCAAGTTTGTATTCTCCTGAGGTCTTTAAGTAATTCTAGAAAAATCAACCAAAAAACCACCAATTATTCTCCTATGAAATATTCCACTGGAAAAACCAACACATATTTCTCATCATTACTAAAGTGTATAAAAACTTTTACAAAGACAACCACAAAATTTTAAGGGATTCTACTTGGAAGAGGTAACCAGTTCTTTGCTCTTCTGGTCATGCCTTCACTATCAAGTCATATATTGGGTAATACACGCAAATATGTGAAAAAAACAAAAATATTGTCTAAAACTAAAACATTTTTAAAGAAAAAATTTTGGAGGGAAAAAAGAGCCAGTTAAAAGCTTCCAACTAAGGCAAAATCTGATAATACTACAATTAACATCTAATTTAAAGCTCTGAAAAACTTAGCATGCTTGAAGTAATTTTGATTAAAAGAAATTTCAGGTTTCATTCAGGGATTTGTTTCCAATATGGAAAGCATTGTACACTCACCGCATATGAGGCGAACTGTCTAGAACTGTATATGCTTACGTTATATAATTCCAAGAAGAAAATTACATCATAAGTAGATGCCTTGGCAGTATCATGGAGACATCTATGACGTAAGCACTCATCCCTATAGAAACTGATGGCAAAAGAGAGCAATCTGACCACTACCCAGCCTTCACATACTGTTGAGTTTCTAAGAATATTCATTAGGGTTTTAAAAATTAAACTAAATGACTAATACAATTTGTCAATTTACTGTGCATTTAAAAAATAGAATTGTTGTAAGTAAATATAAAGAAATTTTCTTACCAAAACTGATTTATATGCCTTAATTCTATGTACAATATTAAGGCCTTTACAGGTAAATCTCAGGCAAAAAAACCCATGAGAGGCAAGATGGGATGCCAGTGACGTCAAATGAGGGAGATTCATATCTCCTGATGCTCCATGTGTAAGAATGACTCCATATGTTAAGTTCTTGTTAGGTACCAAACAAACAGCATCTAGCAATTTATTTCCAAAAGGTACTTTTAATTTTACCTGGAATTCAAGAGAATACAGGGATCAAAAATTACTTCCTTGCCTATTCAGACAAATGAATAACTATACAGGTTTGTTCTGCGACACAAATGATTCAAGTCACAGCCTCAAAATAAAAAGCAATATTAATAATAATTTATATTTAAGTACTTATTGTGTCAGGTACTATCATAACTGCTCTTTATGTATTAACTCATTTAACCTTTCTAAGAATTCTGTGGTAAGTACTGTTACAATTTCCGTTTTAGAGATGAGAAAACTGAGGCACAGTACATTACATCATGTGCCCAAGGTTATATATCCACTAGTCAAGATCCAAATTCAAGCAGTCTGCTCCAAAGTTCTCACTCCTAACCACTAATGCTATACTGTCTCTCACAGTATAAGCTGAAAATAAGAAAATTATTCTGAAGCCATATGACTGCAAAAAAAAAAATAAAAAAAGGAATCTTGAAGATGCAGAATGTATGAAAATATGTATTACCTCTGTATGACTCATTTTCACTGTTGAATAACAAACTTAAAGTGCATTACATCTGAGAAGCAAAGGACATCTCCCTGAAAAGAAGATTCTATTGTGAAAGGTGGGTTGGCAGACATGGATATGATACAAGAACTATGAATGAACACATTTAGTAGCTAAAATAAAGACATTTATAACTACTTTAAGAACTGATATCTTTACATGTACATTACTTATTTTCATTCCTATGGCCATTCAGAACTGGTTACAGGGCCAGGTGTGGGGCTGGCAGATGTTATCTAAGATAAAGTCAATGTGATACTGTAATATGCATTCTGTAAGAAAACTTGTATCAAAGTAGGATGCTATATCTTGGTGCATAAAATATGTATTTTTCCTAAGCATCTTTATTCTCAACCAACTATCTTCAACCTAATTTCACAGCATCTTTCTATTAACCCATTTCCTTCGTCTTTACTGGTCCCAACTCTTCCTTCTACCCTGCAACAGAAGCATACATCCACATCCTTTGTCCTGAGACTGCAGATACCTCCCAGTAGACAGAATGTAAATCTCCACACTATTGCCTTTGGGCTTGACTATGTGACTTGCTTTAACCAAAAGATGTTTCAATGCATCACTTCTGAGCTGAAGCATGGCAAATTTCCAGAAGTGCTCTTAAGCTCTCACCTTAAGCCCCAAGAAAAGTACACTCCACATATTTTTGCTTTTTCAGCCCAGGTTCCACAACAAAGATACATGGAGCAGATCTGAACTCAAAACTGAAGTCTGGAGTCCAGCCTAGGCCAATCAACATCTAAACCACTGAAGAACCATGAAATGTCTACCTGAAGAATCAAGGGCATGAAATGCTGTGAGCCACTAAGATTTCAGGATTGTTACGCAGTATTCTTTCCTGTAGTAAGAGATCTTTTATTGTTCAGGATATGCTTAACATCAGGATCTTCATCAATTTTTTTCCTATTAACATTTACTAGTTTATTCACTGAGTAACATGTTCAAAAGGTACAAAAATATACATTGAAAAGTCTCTCCCTAATTCCACTTTTGTCTTACCATCCAGATCCCCTCTTCAAAGGCAATCAATATTCTGCTTATCTTTCAGATGTTTTATATACATATATACATACACACTTCTTTTTATAAAACTAGTGATATATTTTTTCTGAACCTCCTCCCCAACATATATCTTTGTGATTACTTTTTTTATACAATGAGCTTAACTCATTGTTTTTTTATGACTACAAAATATTCCAAGGGAGGGTTGTACAAAATTTATTTTACCAACCATCTATTAATGAAAATTGAGACTGTTTCCAATCCTTTGCTAAAGCAATATTGCAATGAGTGACACTGTACTTAACATTATTTTACACATGTGTAGACATATCTATAAATTCTTGTCTCAAAGGGTGTATTTGCATTTAAGAAATAATTTCATTTTTGAATAGGCAATATATGCACATGGTACATTATTTTAAAAGAATAAAAATGTGTGAATAGTTAAGTCTCTTCACATTTTTTCCCTCAGCCACAAAGTTCCTTTCCCTTCTCAGAAGCCATCACTGTGACTAATTTATTGTACAGATCCTTCCCTTTACGTGTGTGTGTACAATTCTCATATAGAGCCTCAAAGGTATTAGACCGGCTGCAAAAAGTTCTGGGATTTAAACTGGAGGAGGATGAAGGGCTTCAGCCTTCACTGTCTGTTTTCATAAATGTAGCCTCATAATTGTGCCTGGGGTTCCCAGGTTCAAAGATCCCGTTTTATGTTCTCAAGAGAAGAGCCTCCAGTCTCCTGGTGTGAGAGCAGCAGTATCCTACCAGTGTGAAACAGGGAAGGAGAGCCTGCTATCTAATGACTTCTCAGACAGACTTCACCTAAGTGGTCTTTATTTGAGCCCTCCACATCCATCCGCAGCACCATTCCTTTCATTGCCAGCTCCCAAAGTGTCCCGTGCTGCCAATTTCTGCACATTTTAGAGATTTTCTTTATATATATATATAATTGTTCCACAGTTTTCCCTCTGCTGGTTTAGAAATTCAGCTAATCTGCTACGACACTTGTTTTCTGGAGCCCAGTATTTTACTGCTATTATTTCTTTCCCATTTTCTTTAGCTCTGTGGGTTTGTGTCTTTTTTAAATTCCCTTTACAGTACTTTTAGTGAGATTTCAGGGAGTAAAACTAGATACACGTCCTCAACCCACTCTCTTAACCTAGAATGCTCTACTATTCCTCAACACGTGGGGTGTTCGTGTTTTTTTTTGTTTTTTTCCTGGCAAACGCCACTGTCATGCATGACAGTCTGTCCTTGCCAACAGTGCACACACGTGCTAGACTACAGGGGCAACAGTGAACCGGCACCAGGATCTAATCCCGACCTGCTCTAGCTTATAAATCTCGGGTTTAGCGGGTCAGAAGGGGCGGCGGGGTTGGAGCCTGGCTCCGCCTCGGTGTCTTCAAAAGCAGCAAACGCCACCAACTTCGGAGAGAGGCTGCGACGGTTCACCGTCTGGACCCGCGTGCCCACGCTTGTGGGCGCTTTCAAGAGTGATTTGTGTGACTACCGTCGTCAGGATGCGACAGAGATCACATCCGAAGCCGGATGATCGGATGCCACCACCCCTTAACTTGCAGTTGGAAAAAAACGTTCGTGCGTTATCCGCCTCGTCCGGGCGTAACGTTGGAAATCGCGAGGCAAACGCAATGGCAACCGTCAGACTTCAAGTCCTCCAGGGGGGTTGCGGGTCCGAGCCGCGTCGACAAAAACGGAACAAGGGCAGAAACTCGAGGTCAGGCTTCCCGGGGTTGGGAACCCAAAGGCGCCCAAGGACCGGCCGATTCCGCCCGTCGGGGCTGCACGGTGGCCGGCGCCCGGGAGACCCTCCCCGCTCGGAGGCCGCCGGTGCCCGGCTCGCCCCGTCCGCACCGTTCCTTCTCGGAGCCTCCTGACCGGCCGGCCGAAGCCCCAGCGGCCGCGGCCCGCGGGACCTAACCGACGCCTCACGCCTCACTGAGCCGCCCAACAGCCCCCGAGGGGAGACGGCCGCGAGCCCGAAACGCCGCTGGCGGGACCGCGGAAAGCCCTCGGAAGCCATTCCCAAGTCGCAGCCCCGACCGCTGCCGCCGCCGCCACAGCCGCCGCACTTACCAGGGACGGGGAAGTGGCCGGCAGCACCTAACCGTCCTCACTCCCTTCAGGGAGCGAACTACCACACTCGAAGGGACCGCCTCGCCGCGCCCGCCAGCGCGTCCCGCTACAGCGCAGGCGCGCGCACGCCCCGCCCCTCAGGCGCGCGAGCCGGCGCGCGGGGCAGGCTGGGAGCGGGAGTTTTCCCGCCCTTGCCGCCGGTGCTTTGGCGGCGTCTGCTGCCCACCCCACCAGCGGGTGCTGCCGGGCCGCCTCCCCTCGCTGCCTCACCCGCGACTTCCTCTCTCAGGATCCTTCGGCGTCCCAGCCATTCCCTTTTAGCAGTTGCACCGGCCATAAAATTAAGACACCGCATGCCGCGTGATCAGAAAAAGAAGATTCCGCCCATATTGTATCATATCTAATAGGACTTTGTTGCTTATAACTCGTTTCTTTTCATTGCTAAGTAGTATTCAGTTTTACGGATCAACCAGTTTTGTTTATCCATTCACTGGTGGATGGCTATTTGGATGCTTTCCACCATTTGACTTGTTATAAAAGTGCTGCAATATTCAGAGAGAGAAGGCAGTGTGATAACAGAGATTTGAAAGATGCTGAGCTGCTGGTTGGGAAGGTGACGAGGCCACAAGACAAGAAACATTAAGAAACGCACCCCTAGGAGCCAGAAAAGGCATTCTGCCCTCAGAGCCTCAGGAAGAAACCAACCCTCCAAATACATCGCCATTATCCCAGAAACACTGATTTCTGACTCTAAAATCCAGAACCATGAGATTGAATTCCTATTGTTTTAAACCACTAAATTTGTGGTATTAATACTTTGTCACAGCAGCAATAGGAAACTCATAGAAAACTATGGACACCAAATCTTCAATTTCAGATAAATTTTACATGTCGTTATTATTCTTTTCTTGATTTTTTTCAACCATTTAAAAAATTTTAAATCATCCTTAACTTGCAGGCTGTACAAAAACAAGTGGTGGGCCAGATTTAGCCAAATATTAGCATGGTTATTCCATCCATGGATTAAAATAATACATAATTGGATGTATTAAGAGTTTTTATAATGGAGGCTCTATGTTTCAAAATGAGAACAGTGTTAATGTAGTTCATCATGGATTAATGGAACAGAATAAATCACCATAAAAGATGAATATGTAAATAGATGCCTGAAAAGCATTTAATAAAATTTTAATGTGCTTCCTTTTTAATAATTGGAAATTTCATATTTTAGTAGTGGTTGTTTATCATTAACCATAACAAATATTTTGCTTAACAGTGAGAAGTCAGTAGCATCTTTGATCTCCAATCTAAAGTAGCCACCACCACTAAGCCCACTTTCTCTCTGTAATTGTTTTTTTTTTAATCAATCCATAATTGCCCTGCTTATTTGTTTATTTTTACTTGTTTATTTCCTTCTTCTTTCAGAAGAGATAGAGACTGTTCACTATTGTATTTGTAGAACCTAATACAATGTCTGGCACATATTAGGTGCTTAATAAATACTTGTTAAATAAAATCCATTTGTGATGGATTCAGGCAGAGGCCAGATTACAAAATACCTTGGAAGGTGTATTAATTAGTATTCAGTTTGGCTGTGAATGACTGATTATCTAAAATAATAGTGTAAACAAGTCAGAAGTTTACTGCTTTGTCATGTAAACTGTGTACCTAGGTAGGTGATGGCTTTTGACATGCTTCATACTGAGTTCAGGACTCAGACACCCTTTATTTTTTTTAACTGCTCCACCAAACACAGCTAATGATGAGCACAACACAGGCCTTTAAAATAAAAGTGATTTTATTACAAAATTCTAAAAATGTGCTTCCAATGACCGTCCTGGGAATACTGCATAAGAAGAAAC